TCCACGTCATTCGCAACAGCGTCGCGTATATTCTTAGTCTTTACAAGCATGCAGTATTCAAATAATGAAAGAGGAGCCAGGTGCGGTCCACGCCACTTATAATTGTCAAAGATGCTTACGGGGCCGGTGTCGCCCGTTTCATATGTGCAAGGTTCTTCTGCCATGGGATCAGAAGAGGGGCCGCTTTCAAGGTTATCTGGCTGAATGATTGCCCGAATATAACGCCTTAGCCACCAGAGGTTGATACGGACGAAGTTGTAGCTGATCGTGTAATAGGTTGGTAGCTGAAGCAAGACGCTAGCGACCTGCACACCACTGATCTCTCGGTCATGAGAGGGGCATTAAAGCAGCGTAGTGCAAAATTATTGACACCTTTTTCTCGAAGTCGGAGATCTGTCGCTGTTGGTGGCTCAGCAACCTTTGCATTCTCAATAGATTGCTTCAACAAAGCCGCCTTGGCAACCATCTGCCAGGGAGAGACGTCATCTTTCGTGGCGTAGTTGGTGATGTAATAGATCAGCGACAAAGACTTGGAGACTGTCGGAATCCAGGAGATGTCTTGATTAGAACGAACACAACTAGCAATGGCGGGGTTCCACGGGTTTATCCAGGCATGGTTTCGAGCGAGGTGAATCAGTCCAAAATCATCTACCTTAGAGGCAGGGACCAGATCTCGAGGCATGCCAAATCGACAAGCATTCTTTCCGGGACCTGTTTGCCGGTACTTGAAGCATGTGGCGAGATGGTGTTTCGAATGGACTTGTGTTTTACGAGCGACACAATTGCTGTCATACGATAGTCGAAGATGGAAGTCGTCATCGGATTCAAAATCTTTGGCCGATGGTGGCATGCCGGGAAGGTTCACTTCAGGGTCTTGCAAAATACTCTCATCAACGCCTTGGGTAATGATTGACTCTAAGTAGCGAATCATGCGAGCCGCAAAGTCGCTATCCTGGAGGAGCCGATCTCGCAAAGTAGTGAAAGCCAGGTTTCCTCGCGCCCATGCTAATCCGTGGAGATGTAACATGCCTCGACCATTCGTCTCGACAACAGCGAAATGGTTCGAGAGATCGCCAAGGATACCGATCCGGTCAGTATTAGTAGCGAAAAGGCCGTCCAGAACGGCTTTACAGACTTGATGGAAAAACTCAGCGACTGCCACCGGATTAGAGGTAACGGCGGCCTCACGGATAGCGGCATTTGCCGCAGCCAAGTTGTTCCCAGAGTACTCTACGCCAGCCAGGATCAGGACCAAAGGATTACGTAGGTCAGAGGGGTTGATAGTGATCCAGAAAGCTGGCATACCGTACCGTGTAATCAGTCCTCGAATTTCAGAACGCATTCTTAGTTTCTGGGCGAAGGATCCCGGGACTTGCATCCCGACAGTCTCGATATTTCGCAGCAGTCGTCGGATGACCGGATCCTCAATCTTCTGGCCGCTTTCGATGGTCTTCGCTGCATTCTGGAGTTGGGTCACTGTTAGAGAGGCGATGTCGTCCACTGCCGACTGCCAGTTCTGCCGTTTAATGAGGAATGCGTTCCCTAGCGAGGATTTTCGGAGTTGGATCACATCATACAGCAGGTACATGAACGTTTTGTGGCGTGCGAACCTACAGGAATAAGGAGAGACAAAGATCAGTATCTATAGAATTTTTTTTTTTTTTTTTTTTTTTTTTCAAAGAAAGCCACGCACCTTCTACTGTGGTGACGCAAAGCCCACTCGGCAAACGCTCCAATTGACACCGGGACAGTTCGTTCATCGAGATGGCCCCCAATGCCTCTCGGAAACAAGGTTGGAAACGCGGCAGTAAAGTAACGAGGGTCCGTCCAGTGATTTACCAGGGTGGTTTGGCCACGGATTGTGTAAGAAATTAATGGTATCTTTCGATGACCAAGGGGCCGTGTGCCTCTTGCACGTTCTCTGGCTGAGGTACTCTCACTCGACGGGGCCGGTTGGTTCGTAAGGACGGTGAACAATGCGTCCAAAACGCGGCGATCCAGGTCTTGACGTTCTCCGTTTATGTCCGTGGCGACAGAGCCGGTATTGAAAGGGCTACCGCCACTCGCGTCGAATGCACTATCCTGGGCAGCCTGAAGATCGTTCTCGTAGTTCCCTGTCTGTAGATTTACCGTGTAACCTTCGCGCTCGTGGTGATCCGGCTCGTCGAGATAGATGATGGTATCCCGCAGGTCCGGCGGGATAAAGTCATCGCCCCAGTCATCGATCATGGGACGGTTAATTATGGTGTTACGGTAGAGGTGGTTATGTTGGACAAGGTACTCCAAGGCTGCCAGAACCTTCGCCTTCCGCACGAGTAGGAATTGAATCAGGTCCGAATCTACGGGAGGTCGACGACCCAACCAGAACACCTTGATCAGACTATGTAATGTCAACTCCGGGCTCGGTAGGATCTCGAGAAGTGGTTCTGGGTCCTGTGGGATGACAATGAAATGGCCACGGAGAGCACGGTAGTTGGATTGGCGAGGAGCGGCCACCTGGTCGCAGTTTCAAAACGACACCGAGAGGATGGCACTTTGCAATGAGACATTCTTCTGTCAGAGTGAGGCCTTCCAGAGCAGACGGATAGTCCTGGCACCGAGTCACATTCACAAGGTTCTTCGCAGAGAACTTGGGGATCATATTTCGATTGAGCGAAGCATGGCACGACGAGCACAGATTCCAAGTGTTACCGTGTCGGCCGCAGGGATCAAGACTCCCCAACAGTGACAGCAGCAAAGGATCCTCATTATGTGCGCGGTAGATATCTGTGTCGGAGACAAGTTCCCCGCACGAACAACAGACGCATCTCTTCGCAGCCGCAGAAATCTCATCCTCGTATCTGGCTATGGATGCTCGTATATGCGAACAGGAGATATCCGGGGGAAAAGCATCGGAGGCGACGGCACGAGCCTCTAGCTCAGCACGCAGGAAACCTACCGCTCGATTTAAATTGGCCAGCGACCTCTCCAAATCTACCGTTCTCTCCCTGTTGGCCGTGGCCTGTAAAGGATTCGGATAGCATCTTGTCTCTATATTGATGGGAGATGCCTGTGAGATCCGTGGCGACTGTGGGGAGGACACCGGCAAAGGACCTGCAGGAAGTAGCACTCTCTGGGGTCCCGGCCCGGTTCTCGAATATAATGGCACAGGGACGGGCCGAAGCGCAGCGTTTAGAATATCGAACGATGGAGGCGGAGCCATCGGCGCTTGCGGAACTGGTGCCAGAGGCCGCAAACGGGATCTCCTTTCTGGCAAGTATGCTACAGTATCATGTACAGAATTGTCATTAACAGGACTTGGTATGCGGAGAGCTGGTGCTAGAGGCCTCAAAGGAGATGCCCTTGCGGGCAAGGATGCTCTAGGATCACGAACAGGATGTGGCGTGTGTGGAACTGGGGCCAGAGGCCTTAGAGTAGAACCTCCTGCAGGCAAAAACGTTCCAGGGTCTCGAACGGGCTGCAGTGTGTGCTGAACAGGGTCAACAATGCAGCAGATAAGAAGGACGGACCACTCCCAGTACCTGGTACGATGCTACCGTCCTCCGTGTAGCTGCCTGGCGGCAGCGATTACACGTCCTATGATACAACGACCGGCAGGGGCGTGCACATGTAGAGCACGAAAAATGTAGCGTCGAAAAGGCAGGAACAGTAGGGGAAGTTAGAGGCGGAGGTGGCCCAGTTAAAATATTACTCGTGCCTACAGTAGCTGAAAGCTGTCGGGCTCTGACCGCCCGTTGAGAAACCCTCCTGCGGCAATTGTCGCAGGACCGAAACTGTGTAGAGCGCCATGGTCTGGCGCAACCAGAGCAGAAAGAACGTTGCGCAGGAAGAGATGTCATTAGAGAAGAGATGACTTGAAACCAGCAAACGGCATCCGTTCCGAGGCGCACTGGGAGAGGAGCGACAGGAAAAAGTTGGGACCAGCGAGAAAGATCCGTGTTGATCATTCATATAGTAGAAGTCGAACACGTCACCGTGCGCATGAGTGCATAATAGTACTATCTGCAGGATGCTCAGGACAAATAAGGGTGGAATCATAATAGAAAGGCGAGAAGGCCGGAACCCCACCGACTCCAAGACTAGCGGGAACACCGGGATCCCTAGACACGGAGAAAAAGCAACAGAGGCCGAATACGAATTCGGGAAGCACAAAGCCTAAAGAGGAAGGAAAGGAAAGTAGGTGAGCAGCAATCAGAAGCGAGCGCGGAGAGACAGAGCAGCAATCGGAGGAGAGCCTGGAGAGTCGCAGCAGCAAACGAGAAGAGCGTATTGGCAGTCAATAGGAGCATTCCTTGGCACGAGAAAGCACCAATTAGCAACGAAAAAAACGAAGAGTTTGGCAGTGAGAGGCCAGCAAAGGTTGGCGGGCAGCTCGCGCAGGGTTGTAAACCCTTTCACTACGTTCCTTCGTTTCAGGGCAAGGTTGGCGGGCAGCTCGCGCAGGGTTGTAAACCCTTTCACTACGTTCCTTCGTTTCAGGGCAGGTTGCGGGCAGCTCGCGCAGGGTAGTAAACCCCTCCACTTCGTTCCTCGTTTCAGGGCAGTGGGAAAAAGGCAGCAAAGGAACGCGAGCAGCTCGCGCAGGGTAGTAAACCCCTCCACTTCGTTCCTCGTTTCAGGGCAAATGAGGGGATTCAGACTACGTCTTCATAGCTTTCTTGAAAAATAATTGTTCTACCTATGAAAATACACATGCTTTACAGTGTCCACGATATATATATCTACAACCTTACATACTGTTTTGTTGATGACCTCTGTTGACCACCCACTACATCGATATTATCGAATATTACTTGTAATTTGTAGGTGACCATGCCTACTGTTTACTTTTAGATGACTATTTCTTCATAATTTATTATGCTGATAGAGTATTCAATGGAATGTGTATAGGTTGACGGAACAGCCGTTAAAATCAGAGATGAATCATCCATTTTATCCAGCCAGAAGAGGAAAGGCGTCGAAAAATTATGCAAATGCGAGTTTATGCGGGTCGATGAGGGTTACCCTCCATCGACTCTCCCGACCCTCAGGGTTGGTTGAGGTGCGAAAGTCTGCACCTGCACCTCTTGAGGTGCGGTGCAGGTTCTGAGATTCCGCACCGCGGGGAGGTGCAAAGCCAGGTCTATGTTTAAGTCGATAGGTGCTGTTGTAGATGCCCACTGCTTGGCATTGACATAGGCGTCTGCAGTGGAAGTACTTGGGTCGCCAGCAAAATCCGTAGCAAAAGCTCCATTTTCATCCCCATACTGGAAAATCGCAGCGATATTGCAGCACGTGATGAAAATGCCTTGCTGTGCCTCTCGGCCTAACCGGCTAGCCCCCTGGCGAAGATTCACAAGGAAGAAGTTTGACCGAGCATCAAACTGCTCACTTGGCATGCGCAAGAAAAGAACACCATGGGCGGCCACAAACGAAGTGATCAGTGTGTGTCTGTCAGCGGGTGCTCTTAGGATAGGGTTGAACAGGTGAATCATGCTCTTACGCGCATTTGCAAATGGGTCCACGCTGAGCAATGCTTTCGAGTAGTAGAAGAACCGCTGCAAAGTATCCGAGCGAGAGAGGACGCCAAGGTGGTGCTGGATTCGGCCGGGTTCAGAACGTTGATAAAGATACTGATTGTACCAATATCTAGACACCTCTGCCCATATATCGCGGACCGTGACATCTGTATCCTCCACTGCCATACGATAGCGCGCTAGGTCCCCCAGACATTCGAACCAGGTTCCCTTGAAATTCGGGACCTGCTCTAGCAGAAGTGTCACCATCGAATACGAGAAATATATGAAGCCTAATATATGGTCTTGCATAAAAGGTGTAGCAAGGAGTCTTTCCAGCAATAGTTCGAGGCAGGAATGGATTCCGTAGCGCCACATGCGTCCAGGCATCTGGTGCTTTTCAGCTTGGCTCCTCACGACTGGACTGGCCGCTGGACGTTGCGAAGCAATAAAAAAGTCGTGATGTTCGTAGATGAGTGTTTGGTGCAACGAGATGACGGTCGTGATAGGCATTTGTGAGATGTTCTTTATCACTTCAATGCATTTGTTCTATGCAATGACTAGCCGTGCGTATGTTTTTTCCACTTCATTGACGAGCTGTTTTTCGGGAATGGGGTTGGCCAACTGCTTGACCATCTGTATATTTGAAGCGTGATTTGCCATTTCGAATTTGCTCCAGTCATACCCTAGGCTGGATATTGCGCTTTATCACGAGCCCTTGCACGTCACCAGATATTGCTATCAGCAGCAATGGGACTTTCTTGGGGTAACTGGAATCGAAATAGAATGAGGTGGGCCCTCGTTTAAATAGGTTGCGAAAAGCCCTAATGATGCACCCTAGAAAGCCCGGCCGTGTCACGATCTGCTGTGCCTCAGTTCCAGATTCTTTCAGGGGTAATAATCATAATCTTTGCAGCATGAGGGAATCAGAACCCTAGCGTATGGGAGCTATACGCGTAATTACGGTGATTTCGGCGCCAATCCTATCTGGTCATACAGTACGCCCAGGACCTCTCGGTATTGACCCGCCGGCGTGGTTCTCTTCACGAGCGCCTCAGCTCAATACAGGCCACTTGAAACTACTCTGGAACGGACTCAGCGCCAACACGCGTTCCGTATACCTCTCTGTTCAGCGTAACTACGAAAGCACTGCGCGCTACAAAGTCTCTCAGCATGGCCAGCCTCCAGAGAATCTTTAACCTCGTGGCTAACTTCACGACTCCTGGGCAACGTTAACCAAAAGGCCGTTGAACCCGACACTGCACTCACCGACCTAGCCGCTCTACGATCCTACCATACTGACAATTTCCTTGACGATAAAATCTTTGATAATAAGCACTTTCGAACACCTTATAGACGGCGCGAGAAGACTCAACCCCTTCACGAAAGTATATGTCAGAAAACCGATCTCGCGTGTCATTATCACGAAACTATCCGCATGCTTAGCTTCACTCCCGTTACAGCCCCTAGAGATGACTGCGAACCTTCTGGACGACTTGAATTTCGCAACCGCCTGCCGGTAGCATTTGCTGGTTTCCTCCGCCTCGGAGAGTTCACCCACAAGACAGAAGAGCTCAACACACGCTCTATCTTCTCAGCCACAAAGCTTACGCGCTGCGACCTCAGATTCTCGTCCTTGCTAGATCATGAGCAACTCACACTCAACTGGAGTAAGACGCACCGCCGCCACGAAGGAATACAGATTGTTTTCGCAAAAACAGCAGACGAAGCGTGCCCAGTAGACGCGCTTCAGAAGCTACTACTGCTCGACCCTAAAGAGCCCGATGCACCGTTATTGTCCTTCCACCGAAAACCGTTCAGCCGCAACCATTTCCTCTCTACCTTGTCCACTAAGCTGAGAGCACTTAGCATTCAGATGGGCGGCTACTGGGGCCACAGCTTTCGGAAGGGTGCGGCTCAACATGCGCACGATAGTTGGGTCCTCGACGACCAGATCCAGGTGCTCGGCAGATGGACCTCGGAGGCATTCAGGGTGTATTTCACCACAAACGCATCAGTTCTGTATAAGCTCAATCATCAGTTTCAGACGGGCTCGCCCGCTCCGCTATCCGTACTGCTTCCTCCACCGTCCCCTCCACCATCCTAGTTTGGCCTGGGTCATTTGGGCCTTCTCTGACGCTACAGTCTAATGTGTTTACGCATAAGACCACAGCGACAGATGACCCCTTACGGCCAAACTGTACACGTTCCCGTTCCCATCTTGGCTGCGAGAGGTTCACCAATAAATGTTTTTTTCTGCTATTTTTCTCTTCTCCTGCCGTTGAAAATAACGTTCAGATCTTTATTTAGTTAAAAGGGCAAGTACACACCATACTCGGGGGCTAGCTAATTTCATAAATTAAATCCCTATGGCTTCCATGCTAAACACGAAGGAAAATACACTCGATGGCAATAAATTAGCTGTTTGTGGGGAGTGACGACTCTATGGGTTGGACCCTACGAAGTATTTCACGCTGAATGAAACCTCCCTACCAATCCCCAAAATCTCTGCTAGCACAATCATGAACAATCGAAATCCTCCCTTGTGATGCCAGATCGATCACACATCCCCCGAAAGATACCCCTGTCCCTCTCCCACAGCCGCAATGGCGGATCCGCCTCCGCAATCTGGCCCTGGTCCATCACGACAATCCGATCACACGAAAGGACGGTGTGCAGCCGATGCGCAATGCAAATCAGAGTCCTTCCCTGGAACCACGTAGCGATATTTTGTTGAATACGACGATCCGTAGCCAGGTCCACTGACGAGGTAGCCTCGTCCAAGACGGTAATGCGCGAGTTTCGTACCAGAGCCCGTGCAAACGCTAGCAGTTGTCGCTGTCCGACTGAGAAATTCCGGCCGTCATCTTCGACGACCGTGTCTAGCTTTAGGGCTGCTGGTTTGCTGTGTGGGCCGTCTTTTTCTTCCCCCTCTACTTCTTCGTTTCCTTCATCCCCTGCTAGGTAGACTTTTCTCAATGCAGACCATAATTCCAGATCAGTGTGTTCATTAAACGGATCGAGACCGCACCGTGCCCCGGAAAAGCGTTGGATCCTGGGGAATGATCGCAAGGCGAGAACGGAGGGAATTTAGCGGGACGGTCGTGATGTCAACGTCGTCTATCTTGATCGTACCCACCGCCAATTCGGTAATGCGGAACAGCGCGGATAAGATGCTTGATTTCCCCGCGCCGGTGCGACCGACAATCCCAATGCGCTCTCCACTACGGACCTCGAGGTTCAGGCCACGTAGTGCGAGCGGAAGACCTGGGCGATATCGCATGTGCACGTTTGAGAACGTGATAATCCCATTTTGCGGCCAGGTGGGAGAAAGCTGGCTGAGTGTGCCCTGCTGGCCGCACGCGTCTTCCTTTTCGTCCGTCTCCAACTGAGTAGCGTAAGAATGTAGTCTCTCGGTAGCGTTCATGTGATTCTCTACCTCTGCAAGCTGGCGAACGGTAAACTGCAGGGTCTGCACAATCATCAATATATATGCGAGGACCAAACCCGCGATGCTGGGAGAGACGCTGAATCGAGAGGTTATGACCAGGATGCCCGTCACGAGTACCATCGCAGTTCCCACGGCATTAAGTCGGACACTGAGCCAGCGCTGGTTGGCCATGGTGAGGAAGTACGTTCCGTCCATTTCGTCGATCGCTGTGTTGATACGAAGGCCAAATTGCTTCTGCAGCCCGTATGCTCTGATACAGGCTGCACCGGAGATGACCTCAGTGAATTGGGCGAAAACGTGTGATCGGAGGATGGAATCATGTCGTTTGATATCACGGGCCGAGGCGCGGTAGTAGTTTGCGGCAAGGAGGAAGAGAATGAGCAGTGGGAAGAGGGCGATGGCGAACTGTGAAGTGGTGAGAAGAACAGACTCCTACCCCCTGGCTCTGGGGAAGGGAGACGTACATAGTAGTAAAATAAAATGATGAGTATAATGACTGAGATGATGGTTGTGATCGTCACAGTGAACGTCCGCAGGCCTTCCGTCAACTGATTATCCATGACCTGGATATCCTTCGACAGACGATTCGTAATACGTCCGATAGGGGTCGTATCAAAGAAGGTGATTGGGGCCCTGATGACTCTATCTACGGCACGCTGGAGGATCAGCTTACTTGCATCTGTGCCCGCCTTAGCCAGCACCAAGGCGAAGGTGTACATGAACAAGACCTGGGCCCCGCCGAGGCCTGCGTAGGTGCCGATATACTGCCCATTGGAAAGATCCCACTTGCTGGAGGTCCAATAAGCCAGCCATAGATTCGTCGTGATTGTCGCACCGCCCGTGGCCAGAAGGCTGAGGGTTAAGATCAGCATGTATATGAAACTGGAGCGGGGCCCGGAGGCTAAGATATAGGCTTTCCAGACGCTCCAGCTAACCGAGTTGACCTCCCGTCCTTCCTTTTGCATGATTGCCTTTCCAGTCCGAGGGGTCTTCTTCGGAGTCTCTTCCGTATGCCCCTTGCCCATTGTGTCACTTTGCTTTGTCTCTCTCTCCTGCGCCATCCCGGACATGAGCTGTTGGAAGATGTAATTATCCCGGATCAAATTGTCGAAAGTGTCAAAAGCCTGAATACGCCCGTCATCAAGCAGGACAATCCTATCGCAGCGACTTACAACTTGTAGTTGATGTGTCGCTAAAATCCTGCATTTCCCCCGCAACAGGCCGCAGATTACACGATCCATAGTATGACGACCAACATGGGCATCAACAGCGGAAAGCGGATCATCCATCAGGATTATGTCTGTGTTCGAGTAGACCGCACGCGCAATGTCCAGGCGCTGCTTCTGGCCGCCTGACAAGGTGATGCCTCGTTCCCCGACCTCCGTTTCGTCCCCTGCGGGCAGCATCTCGAAATCTGTTTTCAAAGCACACGCGTCCACGACGTCGTTATACCACTTTTCATTGTACGCCTTGCCGAATAAGATGTTGTTTTTGATAGAGGTACTTTGAATCCAGGCCTGCTGTGGGCAGAATGCTGTGCTGGACCTGATTCGGGCCTCCCCTGTTGTTAACCGCATCTCCCCAGCCAGGGCTGATAGAAGGGATGACTTGCCGGATCCTACCGAGCCGATGACTGCTATTATCTCGTTTGGCTTGACGGAGAGGTTGAGGTTTGCCAGCTTATAGGGCTCCGGCTCGCCTTTCTCATCCCTAGCTTGACTCTGTTGCGACTTTGAGCACGGATGCCGTGTATTCCCACCTTGCCCTTCAGACGGCACCTTTTCCCAGGTAAAGGACGCATTCTCCAAACGGATAGCCTGGTCCATCCCTTCGTCAAACTTCACATCCTCCCTCCGCTCTTCCGCTTACAGGAAATCCTGAATCCGATGAATCGCTGTCCATGCATCTGTCACCTGGCTAATGACCTGTGGCAGGAGATTCAGTGGATTCCTCAACCCATTGAACAGCGCCACGGAGGAGAAAATACGAGATGGTGTAAGCGAATGCCCTGACAGCGAATACGTGATAAATGACAGCATCGACGCGAACACCGGCAACGTGAGCGAGACACAAAGAATGGCGTTGCGTATTGCCAGAAGTAGCCGGATCTCCTTAATCTCACGACCACGAATTTCCGTTAGACGGGACAGGAAACTGGATTCCCAGCCAAGAAATTTGACGATACGGATGTTTTCCAGGAATTCCTGGGAGAGGGATACGCGCTGGTCGGAGAGCTTGTTGATAGTTTTGCGGCGCTTGACGAGAGAGCGGATGGAGTAGGCCAACAGAGGGATGCCGATGACCAGCAGGGCGTAACCGGACAGAGCGCTGTACCCGATATTGATCGCGAGAATGACCAGCGTGAGAATTATGGTAAGCGGGGCAGTCCATAGAATATGCAGCATGCCCGACGCGATATTGATGCGGTCGATGTCGACACTGAGCAGCGTCAGAATCCTGCCATTGGTCCACCTGCTCTTCGCACGCCCAGATAGCTTCAGTGCCTTGTTGAAGATCACGCTCGTCAACACAGCCTTCGCTTGCCCACCAACAATCATCCCCTTATACATGAAATGGTTAGTCCCCAAGCTCTGGAGAACCTGCATGCAGGTTATTCCGATGACGATGCCGATGCCCCGCCCGATGCCCGGGCCTGGCAGGCCACTGTGTTTGGCATTGTAGACATCCGAAACAAAGGAGATCAGATACCGTGTAGCCAGAGGAGTGAGAGCGGAGATGACGGCACTGATGAGCTGACAGATGCCGCCGACCCAGATTTCGTATTTAAAGGTCTCGTGCAGGGAGATGAGGAGGAGGTTCCGATGCTCATTCTGGTTTCTCTCCCCCTGTTCCAATTGTCGGCGGTACGCGTCTTGGAAACGTTCCACGAGCCGGGCAGCGGCACGATCTGGATTAACCTTCCAGATATCTTGCTGCTCGATAGGACGTAAGTATCCGACCTTCATGTCAGCTTGTGTCAGCTTGCTCTTTCTTTCCAAGAAATCAGATTGCCATTGTAGGTGATGAAAACTGACATGCATCAAAGAAGCAATCCACTGGAAGCTAATGATATTAAAAATCCCCGCGCCATATTCAGGGCAGACAGACCGCTCCTCGGGAATGGGAGGGATCTTCTGCAGCCGGAGGGGGTTCAGCCACCAGGACCATTTGCGTTGGAGCCGGGAGTCGATGAGGTCGCCGATTTTTTTCTGGGGCTTGCTTTTTGAATACACCGCGCTAGAATCCAAGGGTGAGATTAAGTTACTAGGTGGCCTTTCCTCCAGGTGTACGCTGGTCGCTGCCGCGACGCGCGTGGGCGAGTGCGTCGCCATCTCTCACTGGGAGCGAAACTGGGAAACGAGGTAATCTGAGGTATGTTAAACGAGGGGACAGGCCATGAGGGATTGTGTGTGTGTGTGCATGAAAAGGCGCTGCACAATCTGTACAGTGCGTTTCTGGAGTCGAGCGGAGGAAGATGAAATGGCGATGACACAAAATTTGTGAAAGGGGTTACCTTCCTTTTAGCTGGTTAGCCTTCCGTGGCAGGAACCGGAACTCCCCTCGGCCGTGAACACCACGGAACGGGTGGATGGAGCCTAAATTATAGAAAACGCAAGGTACGTAGGATTGATTCGCCTATAATAGCAGACCCTCCACCTCCCCCATCAGTTTATTCTCACCATGGCACCAATCCGCATGCTAGCCTTGACCATGCGATGGTTCTGCTCCGAGCCGTCCTGGTGGGGAGGATATTGGACCAAAACATAAGGTGAATAACCATTGGCATATGGATGTAATGGGATTTGATAGTTCTAAAGACGCCCAAAATACCAGACCGTGCCTAACTCGTACATCTACAGTTGATCGAAGGGCTCTGATGCTTCTCAGCACGCAGAACCGAAATCGGTTATAGAACTAATTATAGACATAAAAGCAATAATGTGTTAGATGGGAAGGACGTCCAAAATATGCAAAAGCTCATTTCAGTGATGCCCTTACATGGCAGCTGCGCTTCCTCAGTGCCTACTCCCTCTCGCGAATATTAATCATCAACGGAGGCTTGTCCCAGACCAAATACGTTTTCTGTGTCGTAAACCAGGTGTCTGACTTATCCACAAGCTCAAGGTCAAACTTCCAGAAGATATGAGCTAGAATCAGTCTCATCTCGGCGTACGCCATACTATCGAGCCAGGCAAGAGTTATTATACTGACATCAATAGGGGGAGGAGCGAGAACCCCTTGCACTCACCTTTTACCGATGCAATTCCGGGGGCCATACGAGAAAGGCTGAACGGAGGTGCTGATATCATTGGCGAATGGCGAATCCGCAGAAACATCCAGCCAACGTCCAGGAATGAACGACTTCGCCTGATGAAAGTTCCATTCCATGGAGCCTGCCGAGAGCTGGTGGACGCCGACAGCGATCTAGATCGTATGGAGCAATCAGCCAAGGGAAGGTTACAAAATCAAGACCTAATACACCACCTACCCCTCCTGGAACCCATTTACCATCAATCTCCTCGCCCTTGCCAGGCACGAACCGCGGCAGGGAAGACGGCGAAGGAGGGTATAATCGTAGCCCTTCCTCGATTACAGCGCCTAGGTATCTCAGCTGGCCCGTCGCCACCATGGTGATGTCCTCTTCCTTCTGAAAGGCGGACCGGATCTCGTCAACGAGACGACGGTAGACCGGAGGGTTGCGAAGCAGGAAGAACGTCATACCCGACAGCGCCGCAGCGGAGGTCCGACTGCCCGCAACGATAAACGCGGATGCCATGATGACGAGCTCCAGGTTCGACAGTTTCTCCGATTTGTTGTCTAGGATGTAGCTCATGAAGTCCTTGCGGTCCTCCTTGAGCTGGAGTCTTCTCCGGATTTTCTCCCCGCGCAGTTCGATGTGCTTCTGCCGCGCCTGGAGCATGTATTTCGGTGCGATCCACGCGATCCAGTGGTAGAGTCCATAGTAGACGGTGAATTGGAGCCACACGAGGGTTTGCGCGTAACCCCAGGACTGCCAGCCAGTGGCTGTCGGCATTATCTGAGCCATTGCCCGAATGTATTAGCCTTCGCACCAAGGCATCACATACAGACAGACACGCCGAGAGAGAGGGAAGGAGCGATGGATGGACCTACCCAGACAGCCCGCCGCCTCTCTAAAGGCCAGGTCACTCACGATATCGAATGTCGTAAAACTGTACCATCGCACCATGTCCTGCGGTCCACTTTTGCACACTCTGCTCAACTGGGCCGTCAACTTTCCCGCATACAGCTGGAAGAAGCTCTCCTGCTCGCGGAGTGCTCTCTCCGAGAATGCCGGCAAAATCGCCCTTCGCAGCTGCGCGTGCTTCTCTTGATGTGCAGTCACGATGCCTCTCACCCCCATTCTCGATGGCGGAACGATGCCTCGTCCATCAAGAGACTTGACAAACTCTGGGCTGCGCTGCCCGTAGATTTTCTTCCCGGCGGTGCTGGTCGTGTAGGAGAGTTCATCGGGCGCGATGCGAATCACTGGCCCGTACTGCTCGTGGAAATCGCGGATAGTCCAGGCGATGTCGCCGCGAAGACTGGTCCAGATCCACGGAAGGCGAGTGAGAGCCCAGAGTTTGGGGCCAGGGTATGCGGAAAGTGGGTGGAGAAAGAGACTGTAGAGTGTCCATATAATCCAATACAGACAGACCTGCAAAGGGGAGTTAGAACGTATACGGACATAAACATGTTGGTGGGGGGAGGCCATCGCGGCGAAGAGAACTTGACCTACAGAGCAGAGTAACCCCAGAGCAATTCTCGCTGGCGTCAGGACAGCATATGATAGCAGCGGCATATTCGCCATCTCGCGAAGGTACGGTGGCAAGGGAATTGAAGAAAAGCAAGGGCTTCGGGATCCGGGATCAATGCATGATTTATGGGCATAATTTGGTTTGTGAGAACCTTCTCGCAGGCCTGAATGGGCCACTTGTCAGGGCTCGATCAACCCTCTGACATTCCTGTGGAAACCTACTACGGCGTGTTTTCAGGTGGCCTGTAACCCATATTGGAAAAACGCTAGCGTGGAGGTAATTTTCAATTTGCAATTCACTGAGTAAGGTACCTCTCCTGCGGGTCTACGTCGGGGGGAACTCTCGGACAATTTCTCTGAAGACTATTCTATAAAGCTTATCCAGTCTGGTGATGGCGAAGCTTATTCTCCGCTGGCGGATCGCAAACGTGTTTTGGATACCCACGTGGAGGAGACGCATGGAGCCACTGGGCGAAACAAAGTGTGCTGGGCCTTGCGGGGCTTCGGGTAAATGCCACGTTTCCCAGGTACGGTACGCCAGGCTGGTGGGTGGAGAACTCGGGAAAATCCAGCGATAAGGACTGTATACACTATCCCTTGTTTGGGTCAGCGGCACAGAGCCTCGCTGGGAGGTAATTGGGGCGGTGAATATGATTCAACTGATCACTAAATGCTACTGTTACTCGAGTGACCATTTTGTCCATCTGCCTGTTCCATTTTATTTTGTCAAAGTGTGAAGGATCAATCCAAGCCCAGAAAAAAAAAACTGGATACCGCTGTCTGGAAAATGAGGTCTAGGAAATTTTGAGATAACAATCCCCTTTCAAAGGTCCACGTTCGCATACAACCACCAAGCTCCAATTCCCACAGCCACTCCGGCCGCAGGCCAAAATATCTTCCCTAGCGCCCACTTCACCAACCGGATTTTCCCTCCCAGCAACAGCCGATCCGAGACATCATTCCCTTTGTTCGCATAAGGAAACGGCTGATTCGGGACTGGTTTCCCCAGGAACTTGCAGAGAGGCTCCCATCCATCTTTGGGCTCCCACTCTAGTAGGTTATCGTTGGGGACGATTTCCCGGATTTGCGCGTAGTGCGTCGTATAGCCTTCTCGTAGCTTGTCACGACTACGCCAGTCGCCGCCACTCCAGTCGTGGAGTACAAGGCAAAAGAGTTCCGAGAGGGCGTTTAGGGCCTGCGAGATCAATCCGATATTCAGCCCAAGAACTACCATGTCAAGCAATCCACGATGCCTCTTCACGTGAGGGAGGGCATTACCGGATCAAAAACCGCAGCAACCCTGAACCCCTTATTCTCCAACACACGGTGATACGTCCGGAAGATCGAATGGAGCCATTTCTCTGTATTCCGGTTTGTGAGAATAACCTTGGCATCTGGATATGTTGCCAACAGCTCATCTGAGAAGTTGACACAAGGGGCATCTGTCACGGCGTTGTACCGCCGGAGAAGTGTGCGAAATTCCGCTGCCTCGTAGCGCTTCCCGCTGTTGTAGAGCTTCGCGATGAGGGCTTCACGCCAGCACCAGAGGTGTCTCTCCGAAACGTTTTGTGGACAGCCACCGATTTCTTTGAAGTGGTAGGTGTTGTATCCGAGGAGCTTCAGGGCCTCCCACATGGCTGTAAGATGTTAGATACCGAGTGAAACGGAGCATAGGAGGCTAACCAGACACATAGTCGCAGTGCGGGACAGTCCTAAACAGAGGACTTGCATTTCTTGTGGCGCAGTGTCCTCTGCTGGGATCTTGTCGATCCATCGCGCTGAGGCGGACAAGGTGGTGGGCGCTATGACTGACATCTCTGTTCGTGTCGTAGAGTTTTTTTTTTCTGCTAATGAGTTTGCAGTGTGTCTCTCCAATTCTACATATATATGAATGGTGTCAAAAAATTACTAGAAACAAGAACACATATCGGAGAATGCAGGTCGCAAATCTGAGACTTCCAATCACATCCGAAGGAATAACTTTATGTCCAGGAGACAGGGAAGAAGCGATAAGAGAGTCGGGCCCGGCCCAACAGCGCCGAATCTGAAATAAAGTTGAGACTACTGCGCAAAATCCACTTAACTGGCTGCTCCGCTAAGTGGTGGAAGTGACGGAATTCGAGGACGGGGGCGTGGTACTGTATGCAGATTCAGTGTAATACTGCAGTAATACTGGTACATAATAACGAGTGTATCCGTAGATCTCACATGCCAGGGATATCCGTTCGGACCTATAAACATCTGGGAAGTCGAAACATGGCCAATACGCTTTCCTAAACAAGGCACGCAGCGCTGCTCGGTGCCCCATTTTTCTTAGTCGTTGTGGGGGTATATGGTGTATATTTCTGCACAGATGTTTGATGACTTCGAAGAGGAGGTTGAGGCATTCCCCTTCTCTCTCAGACTGATTTCACCATGTTTTCCGGCAGCTTGACCCATATATTCCTCACTCGAGTGCTTCCGTTGCTATTGCTTGTTCGCATCAGTCACGGCTTCCTACGACGATGGCGGCAGCAGCAGAAGGCTGGAAGACTCGGATGCAAGCCCATACCACTTGAACCAACACGATGGCTGTTCGGAATTGACGTTCTGCTACGCCTGCTGGAGGCAGATCGCCAGCAGCGGACACCAGACTTCATCGTTGAGCGATACAACGCAATGGGCCCTCGGTATACCTGGCGAACGCGGATGCTGGGCAGCGAGCACTACACCACAGCCGACCCCAAAAACATCCAGGCAATCTTAGCAACACAATTCAACGATTTTGGGATGGGTCAAGCTCGCAGTCGGGGGCTGAAGACCGTCCTTGGCCGCAGTATTTTCGCCGTCGATGGACCAGAGTGGCATAGCGCGCGCGAGGTCGTCCGACCAATCTTTTCGCGTGAGCAGGTCTCCGACCTCGCTTTGTTGGAACGACATCTGCAGCGCATGCTGCTATGCATGCCTGGCGAACCGGATGGCTGGACGAAACCCGTCAGTCTGGCGTCCCTCATTCCGTGTCTGACCATCGATTCGGCCACGGAACTCTTCCTGGGGAAAAGTTCAGATTCGCTCCTGATCCGTCTGCAAGAGGAGCAGCACCATCAGCAGAAAGACTTCCACTGGGCCTTCGAGCGGGTGCAGGAATTGCTCAGTAAACGCCTGCGGCTCCGGAATTTGTACTGGCTCTATGGGACCCGGCAGATCAAAGAATGCGTCACCATCCTCCACGCATTCTGCGACCAGGCAATCACAGATGCAGGACAAGCCGACCAAGGAAACAAGAAGCGTTACGACCTCCTCGAGGCGCTGATCTCGCGATCTCCAAACCCAAGCGAAGTCCGCGACCATGTTCTCGGCCTTCTCGCCGCGGGCCGGGACACGACAGCCTCCCTTCTCAGCTGGGTCTTCTACTGTCTCATCCGCCATCCGGCCATCTTCGACAAACTCCGTCGGGTCGTTCTCGACACCTTTGGCCCCTACCATGAGAACCAAGTTACCATCACCTTTGAGCGTCTCAAGAGCTGCACCTACCTCCAGCACGTCCTGTCTGAGACCCTCCGCCTCCACTCCGTTGTCCCGTTCAACAGTCGCCGGGCACTACGCGATACGACTCTCCCCAGTGGTGGCGGACCAGACGGTACAGCTCCGGTTTTCATACCTGCTGGACAGGAAGTGAACTTCAGCAGTCATGTCCTGCATCGCCGCCACGATATCTGGGGCCCCGACGCGGACGAGTTCATCCCGGAGCGGTGGGAGGGCAAGCGACCGGGCTGGACGTACGTCCCGTTCAACGGGGGGCCCAGGATATGCATTGGGCAGCAGTTCGCGCTGACGGAGGCTGGGTATGTGATCTCACGGATGCTCCAGCGGTTTGACAGGATCCAGGGGCTAGATGTTGATCCCACGAGGGATTGGCATCATTTCACGATTACCTGTAGTCCGGGCCCCGGCCGCGAGAGCGTCAAGGCGACATTGCGGATTGCGCGGGATAGTTGATCGGTGCGACTAGGATCAGTCGCTTGATAATAACTCTATATGGGCAGGACCGAAATATTCCAAAGAAGACCTCTACATGGTCTACGGAGTATCCCGTACATGGCATTGAGATTGTTCAGGCTCTAGACAGCATCGGTAGTCTTTGAGGTAGCGCAACTTTGAGAATAAGCCTGCCTTTTTTTTTTTTTTTTTTTTTTTTTTTTTTTTTTTTTTTTTCCATTCTATTAAAATAATTTCTCTGTTGTCTGCTGCGTAGACAATTAACGGCCTGGTTACAGAATGTCTGTAATAAAGGCATAGTCCAGGTGTCCGAATACTAGACCAAGACTTCAAGGAACAGATTGTTGGCACCTGGTACGAAAGAAAAGAGATGGCCAGATCAGCCTAGAGCCCTGAATATATCACCTATAAAGACCCACAGATTCCACACCAGAATGCTCGGGTTAGGAGTCGGCACGAATAAAAACCATATCCGCATTCGTTATCAATATTCGTAGGATTGATACGTGGTGGAAATATATATTGAAATGGGGATGGCTCAATGGCAGTCTGGCATAGCAGACAGGTCGATATCATGGATGAAGGATCAAGCAACCAACACTCCCTAGACAGCACTAGTAGACAGCGGAGCGTATACCCTGAGACTTCTTCATAATAAAAGGGCTGGAAACGAAAAGAGTGAATTGTATGATGCTAGCCCAGTCCTCTGCTGGAATCCCAACATGGAGGAATGCTATCTGACTGGCCACGTGACTAATAGTCCGTCCATCTTTCTACTACTGTCACTGGTTCCACCACTACAATATGAAATTTTCCTTGAATGTTGGATATTACTGTAGAAAGGGGTGTGGTCAATCTATGGGTGGATGAGAGCTTTCATGCATTATCTACTTTTCTCTGTTGGGGCTCCGGTTTTAGACCATACCTTCCTTCGGGCCCTATTTTGGTGCCTAACCATACTTTTCACCCACCTCGTAAAACGTCAATTTTCGTAGCATTTTTGTATAGCAAATTACTGCATAAATATTGCATTCAGAAGAGCATTGCCTAAGCTATCTAATGTAAGCAAATCAGAACGCAATGCATCTAATATTGGCCTTAGCATGATGTTTTCCCGCTAATATCTCCATGAAATAGCTCATTTTTCGACCATTTCTCGCTGCCATGTCGGATGAAAATGAGCTCAAAATCGCCAATGCATTGGCCGCTTACCATGACCGTAATGAGCCGAAGATCAAGCCATTGGCAAGGGAATTCGACGTTACCAGACCCTGCTAGGCCGTATTCGGGGTGCCAGGTCAGCAATTGGCCAATCGGCCTCCAAGAAAAAGCATTGCTTGACAGGATTATCTTTATGGATAGCTGCGGCGCCCCTCAAGGTAGAGCTGCCTGCACTAGCAGGAGAGCTATTGTGAAGAGAATCCTAGAACATGTGCTCCGATCACAATCCACAAGGTTCGGCTAATGCAACGCGTCTCTCCTTCGCTGCAATAGTATTCTCTTCGTTGACGTCGCTAGTTCCAAAGACAAATGTTTCATGTAAACACTTGAGCTCACCTGCGTCTATCTTGCTGTTGTATCCTGCTCTGAATGCATTATTCATGGAAAGAAGGGCTCCGGTTGGCTGTACGAGGGCATTATTTGGTAGTATGGGAAGATATTTCCCCGGGTGCCTCAAACATTCCCAGGACGTCCTAGCGGAAGGGCGATGCGAGGCTATAAAGCCAATGAAAGGGACAATGTATGCGGAGGATCCACCTCCTAGGTTGAGTGGGTTGCACTAATGCACACTAAGACACTAATGTATGCCACAGATAAGGAAGGACATTTTGCCCCCTTAAATCTGGCACCAAAGAAACTCTTACATATGGATTATGCATATTCAAGATTTCATTAGGTTTATGTTTGTTTCAGGCGGGCAAGATACAGCTATTCGCCGAGAGATAAAAGCGATACGCGAAGAAGCAGACCGAGTACACTGCCGAGGTTATCGCCTTCTTCTTTTCGACGGCCATAAGTCTCAATTGTACGCCTGAATTCTTCCTAAAATGCTGGGAAAATCGCATTGTTCGGTACGCCTCCCGGCCGCATGTCTCCCATATATCCCTGCCCCTCGATTTGGTTCCATTTCAACGGTATAAAGCGCTATATCGGAGAAATAATGTGGAGGTTGTCCAATGGATAAAAACTAGTAAAATGTAGGGCGACAAGGATAACTAGTAAGCGGTGACCGTAAGTAGCTCTCCACTTTTCATCGGACAATACTAGACCTCGAAAGGATCCGTTCTGATCTGTATCCGGATCCGCCCCGATCCGCCTTTGGGGCGGATCCGGATCTAGTTCTTCGATCCGTGGGGCGGTTCTATAAATCTTTGATCCGCCCTGTACGGGGCGGATTGATCCGCCGGATTAACAAAAAGGACAAACATAAGAAACCCTGTGATATGCATATTTTATGTAGATTTGGGCTGTATTTTTAAGTATTTGGCTTACAGATTAATCAAAAAAGTATACTAATGAAATAGAAATTGATTTGGAACTCTCTAATTCTATTAAATCTAGGGCTTTAAGTACTCCCATTCACCATCATCCCGCTTTGAACGCTTTGGAACCCGCCCTGATGTACGCCTCTGAGTACCACTTGCATCCTGCAGATTTGAATTATCAGGTAGCGGGATCTCATCCTCTTGGACTTCTTCATCCTCGTCTCCGAGTTCAATCAGAGGTGTATCTCTGATATCTCTAAGAGGTCTTTTACCAAGCGCAACCCTGCTCGGGCCCTGCGATGGTTGAGCCTTAGCTGAGAAATCTTCTTCAGTATCACTGATTAGATCAAACATATCATCATCTAGCCTTTCGCTCTTCCTTTTCTCCTTCACTGCTTGTATCTCCTGTGCTGTAAGATACTCCTCTATCAAAGTATGCTGATCACTTTCAATGTCAAACCTCGATGTACATAAATACATCATAAGATCCTGGATAGTTGTCGGTTTAAGAGACCCTCGGCGGTAATGACAGATATCACGAGCAGTATTGAAGAGTCGTTCAACACCAGAACCAGTCGCAGGAATAGAAAGAACATCGCGTGCAAGGCTCGCAAGAACTGGGAACTCATACTGATTACACTTCCAAAAGACACATGGATTAATCTTGCGAGTACCTAGTAAAGGATTAGTAAGAGATAATAAAAGGTATTTAGTAATGATTCACTTACTACTTCCAAGATATTGTGTAAGCTCATCGTCTTGGTTGATCTCACACCCCTGGGCTTTCTGCCTGTCACCTATCTGATCAACTATAGAGAACTGCTCTATAGAAGAAACTCCATGCAACGCTGGCCGAGTTTCAAAGTAACGCTTCTTGTATGGCTCAAGGTATTTTTCAAGACTCTCGCGGTATTGTTTGCGATAAGGCCCATTCCAGTCCTTCCCAGAGAAGTATTCAAGCTTGTTCTGGGGTGCCATGATAGTCGCAATCGCATAGAGATCACCATAGGCCTTGTCGGTCTCGGCATAATAGTCTCTTAGCTTCTGTGTTGCATATTCGAGAGCGGTTCGCATTATTATCTGCCATCTTGCTTTCTTTCGTCTAAGCTGGTCCCTAGACCTCTCGAGATGATCGAATAGCTGATTGTAGATACTAAAGACTATATGGATAGTGACATCCTTAGTCTTTGAGAGAACACTTGTGAAGTTGAAGAAGGGTTGTGTGATAGAAAGAAGATAGTCAATCTGCTTCCATTCGTCCTTAGTGAGCACAAGGTCAGAGAGGCCACACTCAGAGCAATACTTGTCGCAGATAGTCTGTAGTCTTTTGGCACGCTGGAGCATCAGAAATGTAGAATTCCACCGGGTTTTAACGTCCTGCATCAGAACAAGCTTTGGTTCTTTGGACTGGAGCTCGAGGAATTGCTCTCTACGCTGAGGGCTTCTATTAACCCAGACTGCTAGTCGCCGAACCTAGGTTGATATTAGTATAATATTAGCTAAGAAAGAAGGAGGGGGGGGGGGGGGATTTCTTACCTTATTAAGGGTAAGCACGATATCTTTCTTCTCTCCATGAGCTTTACCCCGGGACTCAGAATCTGTCCATTCCATTTCTTCTCGGTCATTCTTTGGGGCTGCTTCCATCCTGCCGAGAAGCTCGTTTAAACTGAGTTGAATAACATGTGCCATACACGGGATTCGAACAATAGGGGTACCATCTGGTAACACGAGTGAATCAAGAGCTTTCATGATACTATCATGGAGCGTCGTGTTATTTGATGCATTGTCAGTGGTCATTGTTAAAACCCGATCTTCGATGTGATGTTTTTTTAAAAGATCCAAGAGGACAACACTAAGGTCGGCCCCTTTATGGCTTCCATGAAGTGGCTCAAATCCAAGCAAGATCTCACGGTAATGCCAGTCTATATCGATAAAATATCCGGTAATGGCCATAAAGGCTTGGCGGAAGGGCGAGGTCCAGCAGTCTAATGCAATAGAAAGCTTCGCACCTGACGGAAGCATCTGTAGAAGGCCTTTTTGGCGTTCTATCACTTTCGCCTGGATCTTCTGTCGTACTAGATATGCAGACAAAACCCGAGGCGGAGATGAGGCGAGACTAGCCAGTTTGACTAGTTTATGAAACCGAGGATGTTCAACAAACTGAAATGGTAGTCGTAACTCAGTAATTAGAGATATCACACACTCATCAAACTCCTCGAGGGTAAATTTCTCTGGCTGAGGGCCATTAAGTACCTAAGATAAACAAGTTAATTGTAGGTTCAAGGAGGAGTAGGCATAATAAAAATAAGTTCTAACATACCCCTGATTGAAGAAGCTTTCGAATATCCTGTGAGGGTTTCGATCTCCGGCAATTAACACCCTCCCGGACATGCTTATTTAGGGAGGATGTCCCACGATTTCCGACCGCGGGGTGGATGATAACCTGGCTGCATACTTTGCACATGACCTTAGGTGACCCATTTTGAATCATAGCAACCTGATAGAAGTGTTTCCAACAGTCCGCTTGGCGTCGTTTCTCGAAGATATTCCTTTTCATCTGACTTCCATACTCTGTCATCAACCACCACCCACAGAATTCATCATTCATCTCCTCAGTCCAGAGTATAAAGTGCTTCTGGTTTGTCGTAGGCCCAACACGTTCTAGAGTCGGTGGAACAGGAGGTACTATTAATGGTCGAGCGGAATCGCCGTCAGGTGTAAGGGTGGATGTCTGCTGAGATAGAGCACTAGGGGTAAAATATATTGCTCCGTCAGAAGGAATATCTGAAAGGTTATCTAGAGGATTATCCTCAAAGATAGAGGAAGGGTAGGTATCCGAGAACTGAGAGGCTTGACTTTGTGACATAGTGAATAAGTATCACTACTAACTTTAGTAAAGAGAAAGAAGGAGACTTACAGGGAGGAAAGAAGCGAGAAAGAAGGGAAATTAAAAGACGCGACCAGGAGCGCGAGCTGAACGACATTGTAGATATATCAATTCTAATATGGGCTAGGCGACCTACAGCCCTACTATATGATTGGCTTTAAGAGCAAAACGAGCCCACAATAGAACGGATCTTAACGGATTGATCCTGATCCGCCCTGGGAAAATCCTGACTGATCCGCCCCGCCCCGCCCTCCTAAAACCTTTTAGTATGTTTGAATTTGCCTGACTCTTTAATCCAAAGTATGCTATGTAGGCTACAGAGATAGGTATTTCGGTAGGAATCACTTATTAAAAACAAAGGAAGAAATGAAGTACCTTAGTTTATCAGCTAACTAATCATAAGGATATAATGATTTTAGAAGGCTTTGCTTTAAAATAGTTCAAGAAAGTTCCGAAAAAGTGTGACATGATACTTGGGTGAGAATATATATTTCCCATGTCATTACAACACCTCAACTTTACTTTAATAATTGGCTAACAACCAAGGTCGGAAATGATGTTACAACTTCTATTATTCAAATTCCATAGGTAAAATGATTTACATACGGTTTCAAAACATGAAATTTCAACCAAAAAATCACTAAATCTTAGGAGTTATGAATGCATTGACCAGAACAAGTGTATATTACAGTATTTTATTTAGATAAGTCATCATTTATATCCGCCAAAACAGGAAAGTCTTGGCGAGTTTATGCAAATCAGGATCGAAACGGATTGATCCTAATCCGCCTTGCGTAGAACCGCGGTGCGGATCCGGATCAAAGAATTCGATCCGGAAATCCGGCGGATCAGGATCAGGATTCAAAAGTTGGATCCGGATCCGCCCCATTTCGAGGTCTAGACAATACCGTATAAAATCCTACTCAACAAGTATAAATGATGTGAGGTTTATACACAATAAGGTTGCCGCTTGACCTGCCCACACATGAGCTGGGTCGGGTTCCTGAGGTCTTTCAGCTCTTTGCAGCGTCTGCCAAAGTCCAAATAAATGTATACACATACAGTGGTGTATCATAAGAATTTGACCCCTAGTACTTCGGGCCTTGACCGCCTTTCATACCGCCTACTTGATTAGGTCATGAACATCCTATATACCAACGCGTTCTAATACAACTCTCGCATTCTTGTGTTTAAACATGCCTTTGATACACGGGAAAAGGGGCAGTGGCTGATATTATTAATTATGAAGGATACTGTCGGGACATATCAGTGACACAACAAATGTTTTAACACCCCTCTGAATTTTTAGATTCTGCCGGTCAAAAATTCGACTTTTTCAACGCCCTTTAACTTGTTTCTTAATGAAACACTTGGCCTTTGTGTATTGAATTGAATTATACCTTCTATGAAAAACACCTACTGAAACAAGAATGCTTAAAAGTAAGATATCATAAACTTGCTCTTCGGTTTATAATAGGCGGTCTCAAAAGCGGTCTGTCCAAGGGTGTTAAAACATTTGTTGTCACTGTATCTGTCGCAATTACCTTACGAATACTGCATGAAACCGGGTCTACAGATGATCCGTCGGCATAGCTTATGTAACTAGAATGGACCCCTAAATAGTGAGAAATAGGGGTAATGGAAATACAGAGTCATTTACATCTCCAATTGGCCGGATACAGGACAAATCGTGACAATATCCTCCCGCCAGAAAAAGCAAAGACATGTTGTACGTATTCTTGCTAAGCTGCGGCTCCCGCCATATGGATTCAGGGGCTTTGGACCATGACACGGAACACATATCTATCATACATGAATCGATCAACTTTCGCTTTAGGAGAATGAGAACTGTTCACTTAACTGTGTACACGGTACCTAGCTGGCGATACCAACAGATACCCTACTAGCTACATATTAGACTGAAACTGAAGTTTCTGAGGTTTCTGCACGGCAGTATAAAAAGTGGGTCTTAGGTCAAAGCACCAGAGGTCAAATACTTATGATACACCACTGTATCTACACACCAACCAACTATGCAGGGGCTAGAATAGAATTATAGGTCATACAGGTCAGGAATGCATACAGGTGGCTAAGAGTGCATTGAGTCAAAAGGCTGGTACCAAGAGAACAGTCTGTCAGGATCATATCGCTGCTTCAACTCCCGTAGTCTCTGTAGCCTCCACGGCTCATACCCGTAGAGTGCCTGCACTGGGTCTGCTTTCAGCGTCGTATTTCCATAATTCACATACTGCTGCAACCGCCCATATCCCGAGATTCCTATGAAGGCAAGCTTCCACTTCTCTAGCCATGCTTCGAAGATCTCACTGTCCTGGGTACTCTTGGGCGTGGCCGTGATCATCCTATCAACGATTAGTCGCCCTCACTTCTCTCCAATATGGATTTGCGGATGCTTTTAGGTTTGAGGGTGTTAATCGACGCTTACAAGTGATGATTGGTCCCATGCCGCCACGGAAAGGCCGTCGCGTCATCCTCAATATCCCTCGTCCGGTGATGCGGCAGACTCTCGAACATTGCTCCAAACCAGCCTTTTCCCGCAAAGCGCTCATTCATCTCCTTGACGGACTCAAAAAGGCCCTTGTCGTTACCAGTTCAAAGGATTTCACGCTAACGGCACTCATCATTTTGTTTGGAGCCAGTTTCCAGACCTCCGGTTTACTGAGCAGCTTGTTTTGGGCACCATAGGTGATCCAGGGCAGCTCGTCCCAAGTGGCGGTAACCTTGGTGGAGCGGACGGGATTGAGGTTCGAGAAGTGAGCGACCCAGGGCATAGAGTCGCGTTCGGGGCCAGAGTAGACAAGGTTGACGAGGATTAGATGCTGCGTATATGGTATACCAGTTAAAAAAATCGTAAAAACGTCCGAAACGTCACTACGTGAGGACGGTAAATGGAGAGGGGAGACACTGCACATACCGACTCTCCACCCGACTCGCGTTTCCACACTACAAAGATCGCCAGCTCCGGCGGCATCACAGTATGTACCTCGTTCAAGACTCGGAAGACCTCCTCACATTGTTCCAGTCGATACTCCAGATCCCAAGAGTAATGGATCCCTGAATTAGTCTGTGGATAGACGCGGAACGTCGCCTCCAGCGCAATACCAAAGTTATGTCCCGCCCCACGAAGCCCCCAAAAGAGATCCGAATTTGAGGATTCGGAAACCGTGACGATAGACCCGTTGCCTAGGAGTAGCTTACAAGACACGAGGTTATCATTCAGATAGCCGTATTTCCCTTGCAGTCTGCCCAGACCGGCCCCGAATGCGACTCCGATTACGCCTGTTGTTGGACAGGAGCCAACGGCTGCCTATGTGGTTATTATCTCATTCTCTGGGGTTGTGTTGGCTAGAGTGGAAGATACGACCAACTTACTCACTTCCATCCCGAGGCCATGCACGTATCGTGTGAAGTCATCCATGATCGTACCCCCGCCGACGGTGACCAGGCGCTGTTCAGCATTGAAAGTCATATGCTTTAGAGGGCGCATGTCGATCACGATGCCATTTCGAAGTCGCCTCATGCTCGTTGTGATGCAGTGATGCCCGGAGCGCGGGGCAAATGGGATTCCCTTCTCTCGCGTAAAATTAACGGTGCGGACGACGTCATCTTCGCATGCGGGACGGACGGCAAGCAAGTAGGTCTACGAGAAAGGGGAGAACAGTCAGCCGTCAATATATTCTCTGGTATATATATCTGGCTATTACTATACCGGACGACCGTACTCGGTGAATCGTAGATTGACGCTCTCAAACTCCTGGGACGGCGGTAGTGCAATCACAGCTCTTGGGGAGAGAAGAGAAGATAGCTCGGAGTGAATGGAGTTTTGGAGAGAGCGTTTGTCTTTATCATCTAGCGTAAAATCCGTCATACTGTATGGCCAGAGCTATTGCGGTAACCTTTTTTTAGGAGAGTAGATGGGAAGAAGTTGTGGACGCACGCAAGATAGTGAATATCTTTTAAGACTACTGACGCCTCAGACCCCTTTCCCCGCCCTCTGCCTCGTCTGGGTGCATGCATTAATCGATAGGCTACCGCTGCAACCCGGAACTTCGCGTTTCTCGACGCCGCGAAGTTGACAGTAAGAAACAGGGGAATCGAGAGAGGAAAGTATCTGCGGGATGCATGCCTAAATGTGGGGCGCTGAAACAAGCTTACTTCGCGATGGGGGCGTTTAGGTGACCTACTCTGCGAAAGTCCGACAGAAGGACATGAATCAAGTGATTCAAGTCTGCATGAGTGCGCACCTCTAACCGTGCGGATGAGGCTTCTTGCTATTCGAAGGCTCCCGACCTTTTGCTCTCCCACCTGTCTCAGATTCCTGTAAGAGATAGATGAGCTTATTCGCCTGTCAATCATGCAGGATTGCTTGTCAAATCCGCAGGATCCACTAGGTTCGTTTAAGGTTCGGTCAGCCTCCGCTACAAAAACTGGGAATTTCTCTCTCCATACTGGTAATTTTCAGATAATTGTAATTTTCAATCGATGGTAATTTCAACCGGTGGGGCTAGCTTCGCTTTTTAAGTGGGCCTACCAGTTAGATGCTTATCTTCTGAAGTCCCTGGGCCCTTTGAGACATTGAAAGCGCATCTATGCCAGGAGATGCCACGAGGAACCTTAATTAACCCTTCGATACAGGCATCTCGCTTGACTACCCATAACCGCCTAATATCTGCAGCGGACTACGTGTAACGGAAAGGCTGTTTCCCGAGTCTGTCTAGATACACAGCATAATACCAATGGAGGATTGATGTCCCCGTTTGAGTACTAGACACGGGAGCAGAAAGTTCAGCGCTGAGACCATTTCCGCATCATTCGCTAGTGAATGGGCCCCGGGCAACGTCCCAGAGGAGACGACCTACGGCGCCTAGTCCGTCATGAAAGATTACCATGGATTGTGACGGGTCTTGGCGTGCTCGGAGATACAAGTCCCAGCGAAATGAACTGATTGTAGGGTCGGAAATTCAGATTCGTACCTTCAATTCCAATTGATACTGCGCGTTGATGGTTCCTGAAACGTAATTGGATCGTCGTCATTCCCCATAAATGGGGAAATATACAGCTTGAGTTGGCGAACATGTGATAAAACAGTGGGACCTACAACTGTCAAAACAGCACCAATTGAACCTGGATATCAAGATCGGTACGAACTACCGGTTTCTGCCGTGTTCGTTTCTGAGGGATCTCGACAAGTTCTGTATCGGTATCGGTGGATGGGTCTGTGGGGGATGAAGTAAAAAAGTTATAAATATTTTGCTAGACGGTGCACCTTATAATGTATTACAGAAGGAGTTCCAGTCTGAACAAGTAGAGCCATCTCATTTCATACTACCCTTTTTTCTACCTACCACCCAGTCAGCCTGCCAACCTCCTTGTTACCGTCAAAATGCCGGGCAAGCTCCTAGACACGTCCCCAATGACCCCGTCCATGCCCATAGCCATCGTCGGCCTCGCCCTCCGTGGGCCAGGTGACGCGTCAAACTCGGAACGCTTCTGGCAGATGTTGACGGCTGGCCATTCAGCGCGGTGCGAAGTCCCCAAGGACCGATACAATGTCGACGGCTTCTACCACCCAAACTCCGACCGACTGGGCAGCATCCAGCAACGACATGCTCATTTTATGAAGACGGACTTCAAGGCATTTGACGCGCCGTTCTTTTCTATCATACCCAAGGAAGCCAAGGCCATGGATCCTACACATCGCATGTTGCTGGAAGTTACATATGAGGGATTTGAGAATGGTTAGTTCCGCATATTTTCCCGTGGTCTATTAGACGGCGTGCACGTAGGGTTGGAGATATAGATAGGTATACTGACGTGCGGTTGGTGCTTAGCCGGCTTGACATTGGACGCGGTGAAGGGTTCTAAGACCTCGTGTTATATTGGCACCTTTACCGGAGACTTTGAAGAGTTACAGGTGAGAGACAACGAGGGGCCGAGTATGTATCATGCCACCGGACTATCATCGTCGCTGGCGTCCAACCGGCTGTCGTGGTTCTACGACTTGAAAGGACCCAGTATGACGATCGATACCGCCTGCTCTTCCAGTTTGACAGCGTTTCACCTGGCCTGTCAGAGTTTGAGAACCGGGGAGGCGACTATGGTAAGCGACTTCTACAGATCTTTGTTGGGGTTGAGAATACACCCGCTGACTTATTACGTAGAGCGTGGTCGGCGGTGCAAATCTCATGTTCGGCCCTGACATGAGCATCCTGCTCGGTGCGGCGAAGATCCTCTCGGCGGATGGCAAGTCACAAATGTGGGATGCTAAAGCAAACGGCTTCTCCCGAGGAGAAGGAATTGGCGTCACGATCCTCAAACCTCTGGACGCCGCGCTGAGGGACGGTGATACGATCCGGGCGGTGGTGCTCGCATCCGCTGCCAACCAAGATGGCCGGACGCCTGGGATTAGTTTGCCGAATGCCGACGCCCAAGAGGAGCTGATCCGGACCGCATATGCTCAGGCCGGGGTCGATCCGGCAGAAACGGGCTATGTGGAGGCTCACGGAACGGGAACTCAGGCGGGCGATCCGCTGGAGGCCCGCGCGATCATCAACAGCATTGGATCTGGGCGCACATCAGATCTCTATGTTGGGTCGGTGAAGACAAACATCGGCCACCTGGAGGGCGCGGCGGGTGTGGCAGGCGTCATCAAGGCAGCCCTGGCGGTGGAGCGAGGGTTGATCCCTCAAAATCTTTGGTATGGTCCCACGAAATGCACCGTTTTTCTGGGGGTTGGCATTGACACGTGACATAATAGGTTCGAGACTCTGAATCCCCAGATCTCTCTCCCGGACCGGGTGAAGATCCCCCAGCAGCTGACGGAGTGGCCATCGGAGGGTCCTCGACGAGCAAGCATCAATTCCTTCGGGTTCGGTGGCGCCAATGCCCATGTCATTCTCGAGGATGCAGCCCATTACCTCAGCCGACAGGGATTGAATGGCAGATACACGACGAAGCTTCTTCCTCCAGCCTCCAATGGAACCACTAATGGGCAGGCCACGGGCCATATGACAGAGAATGTGAATGGAGGCTTCAGCAAGCAGTCCGATGGTGACCATGGGGTGAACCTGGCGGACTCAAAACCCAGCCTCCTCGTCATTTCGGCCCAAGACCAGGATGGAGTCCAGCGCTCGGTGAAACAGCTACAAGAATACCTCGAAGAGAATCGCGACGAGAAAGATCCCCGCTTCATCTCGAACCTCGCCTACACTCTGGCCTCTCACCGGTCGATAATGCCTTGGAAGACATACGCGATCGCGTCCGATGCGATTGCCCTCAACGGCGCACTTGGGGAAGTACCCGCCGCAGTGCGATCATCCGACTCCCAGACTCCCAAGGCTGCGTTCATCTTCACCGGCCAAGGTGCGCAGTGGTTTGCCATGGGTAAAGACCTGGTTACATTTGATGTTTACAAGGACAGCCTGGCCGACGCAGAGCGTATCTTGCAATCACTCGGTTGCCAGTGGAGCTTGCGGGAAGAATTGAACAAGACCAAGGAGACATCCCGCCTGCACCTAGCCGAGCTCAGTCAGCCTGTGTGCACCGCTCTTCAGGTGGCGCTCGTTGACCTCTTGCAATACTGGGATGTGCGCCCCTCTGCGGTGGTTGGACATTCTAGTGGTGAGATCGCGGCGGCATATTGCATCGGAGCCATCTCAAAAGAGACAGCAATCCGGATAGCTTGGCTACGAGGGAAATACGCTACGTCCGTTGCAGAGGCGAGGAATATCGATGGCACCATGATGGCGGTCAACGCTGATGGAGAGTCGATTCGTTCCGAGCTCACGGGCCTCAACGGGACAGCCGTAGTATCGTGCCTCAATAGTCCCAACGCCTGCACTGTCTCCGGAGATGTGAAAACACTGCAGGAACTGGAAGAGATTCTGAAGGTGAAGGGGATTGTGGCCAAGAGGCTGGAGGTGCAGGTCGCCTACCATTCCCCCCACATGAATCTCATCCGGCAAGAGTACGAGGCCGCGTTGAGGGACGGATGGATAACTCAGAGCGGCGCCGAAGAACCAAGCATAGAAATGTTCTCGTCCGTAACAGGCTGCCTGATCACGCGTGCAGAACTGGATCCATCATACTGGGGAGAGAATCTCGTGTCGCCGGTGAACTTCGTTGGAGCCGTTGGGTCGCTGCTCAACCATTCTACAGACTCAAAGAGGCAACATGATCGCGCGGCATTTGCCAGCATCTTCATTGAGGTTGGCCCACACTCTGCGCTGAGATCGTACCTCCTGGATATCTTCAAGGCCCAGGACAAGTTTGTCAATCTCTCCTACGTCACCGTCCTCCGCCGCAACTACCCAGGCACTCGCACCATCCTGGACGCCATGGGCCAGCTCCACGTCAAGGGACTCCCTTTCAACCTGAATAAGGTGAATGGTGTCAGTCCCAAGGCACAGATGCTGGTAGATCTTCCCCCGTACCCATTCAACCACTCTCTCACGTTCTGGGAGGAGTCCTACCTCAGCCGCGATTACCGTCTGCGTGAACAAGCTCGGAAGGACTTGCTGGGTTATCGCAACCCAGGAACCTCGGAACCAACTTGGAGAAATTTTCTGCGCTGTTCAGAGAATCCGTGGATCCGCGAGCACCAGGTTCAAGGCAATATCCTCTATCCTGGGGCTGGAATGCTTGTCATGGCCATCGAGGCAGCTCACGAGCTCGCCGACCCCAACGACAAGATTGTTGGGTATGAGCTGCGCGATGTTTCCATTGTAGCCGCGCTTCGTGTTCCGGACGATGACAAAGGCGTTGAAACCATGGTGCAGTTTCATCCTCGCCGGACAGGGACCAAGGCGGAGCCATCGTCGACCCTGAACGAATTTACAGTCTCAACTCCTTCCGAGGACGGAAAGACATGGACGACCCACTGCAGAGGATTGATTTCTGTGACATACCGTTCTCAATTGAGTCCCGCTATGAGGCAGGAGCTGGAGCTGGAGGACAAACGATACCGCACATCCTTCCAGGCAGCGAAGAAGCAATGCTCCCGACCCGCAAGAAGCTTCCTTTACGACAACGTCGAGACAATCGGCATGAATTATGGCAAGATTTTTCGCAATATCACCGACCTGTATGCAGGTGATCAGGCCAGCTACGGAGTAATCACAATCCCCGACACCAAGGCCAGCATGCCGCAGAACTTTGAGTACCCCTGCGTCATTCACCCCGTCACGTTGGACTCCATCCTACACCTACTATTCCCCTCCATCGCGGGCTCAGAACAGTCTCTCCAGGAAGCGGTGGTGCCGTTCTCGTTCGACCGGATCTTCATTAACGCTGATATTCCATCTGCACCTGGAACAGAACTCTACGGGTACACCGCTGCCCAGAAGACGAGCTACACGACCTGGATGAGCACTATCGCTGTGTCAACGGAGGAATGGTCCACACCACTGATTCTGATTGAAGGCCTGGGCCTGGCGTCTCTAGGCGCAAGTGAAACTGCTCAAGATCCTTGGAAAACCAGGGCAGGTTGTTTTGACATGATCTGGCACGAGGACCCGGAGTTCCTGACTCCTACACATGTCAAGGAGTTGATCTACAAACGAACCACTCCTAACAACGACGACGATTCTGTTTTGGACAAGTTAGAGTTTGTCTGTCTCGTTTACATTCACCACATCCTGGACTGGTTCCAATCTAACAAGGGAGTGGATTTCGTGACCCAGTCAGGTTTCTTCAAACTCTACTATGAATGGATGCAGGATATCATCCAGCAATTCCCCCCATTGCCCACCCCCTGCCGCCAGTCTAAACGCAGCAATCCAGGAGGCGCGAGATAGCTGCATTCTGTCCAAGTCGGGGGATATCACAGTGCAGATGGTGGACCGCATCGGACAGAATTTGGAAAGGATCTTCATGCAAGAGATTGAGCCGTTGCAGGTGATGCTCGAAGGCGACCTCCTTTACGATTTTTAGTAAGTCATTCCCTACTGAGTGCTGTACAGGTTGAGCTCTAACCCAGATTGCCAACAGCCGTGGTGCTTTCGGAGCGAGCTTTAACACCAACGTCGCCGAGTACGTCGGTCTGATCGCGGACAAATCCCCCGGTCTTCGAATCCTAGAAATCGGTGCCGGAACTGGTGGTACCACCTACCATGTCCTCGAAAGACTGCGAAATCCCGATGGGACAAGCAAGGCGCGAAACTATACCTTCACCGACATTAGTCCTGGTTTCCTGGCCAAAGCCGCGGAACGGTTCTCCGAGGACGCAGCAATCCTAGAATTTTCGGCGCTGAATATTGAAGAGGATCCCCTGGCGCATGGGTTCCAGACCGAGTCGTTTGACCTGATCGTGTGTGCAAATGTCCTGCACGCCACGCGGTCGATACAGGAGACTTTGGCCCACTGCCGCTGGCTCCTAAAGCCGGAAGGGAAGCTCGTACTATCAGAGGTCACGATCAAGCGGATTTTCTCAGGATTCATCATGGGACCGTTGCCGGGGTGGTGGCTCGGGGAGGACGATGGCCGCAAGGGGGGTCCTCTTCTCAATGCCGAGGAGTGGGATCTGGCCTTGAAACAGGCGGGTTTCTCCGGCGTTGATCTGGATGTTCGAGGAGACTGTGACACCTCTTTAGAACCAGTTTCTTTGCTCGCCTCAACAAAGACATCTGGCCGGCCTAACCCATCGCAGGCATTTGCGATTATCAAACCAGCTGGGGATCCATCGAACAAGCTCGCAGCACATATTGAGACCGCTTTCCAGTACCTCAAATTGGAGGTTTCCGTTTTCGACTGGACTTCGGTGACTGAGTCTGATATCAAAGGCAAATACTGTGTATGCCTGTCCGAGTGGGCAGAGCCTCTGTTAGCAATGATCAGCGACGAAGACTGGAACAAGTTCCGTACGTTAGTCTCGACTGCCAGTGGCGCACTGTGGGTGACAGGTGGAGCGGCAATGGAGTGTTCTAACCCACATGGTGGTTTGATGGTTGGGTTGTCCCGAGCAATACGCAACGAGAACTCAAACTGCTTGCTCGCAACCTTGGATATCGACCCACAGGACTCTACGGTTGATCTCGCAAATTCCGCCTTGGCGATTCGCAATGTCGCCGTCCGCCATAGTTACGGTGATTTGGTTGACCATGAGTTTGCTGCACGTGGACAGACCGTCTACATCCCTCGTGTGGAAAGGGCGCCTCAACTGGACTCTCGCGTACGGCTGTACCAGTCCAAGGGTGAGCCCGAAGAGGTCAACTTTGTCGCATGCCAGCGCCCGTTGAAGCTTACCATCAAAAGCCCCGGTCTTCTGGATTCATTCTTGTTCGAGGAAGACATGGAGTATTATGAGGCTCTACCCGAGGACTGGGTGGAGATCCAAGTGAAGGCCGTGGGACTGAATTTCAAAGATGTGCTGGTCGCTTTGGGCAACCTGAACGAGAACAAGCTTGGCGTCGATGTCAGCGGAGTGGTGACGCGCGTGGGATCCGCCGTGTCCAACATCAGCGTTGGCGATCGTGTCATGACATCTTCGTGCAACACGTTTGCGACATTCGTCCGGTTCCCAATGCAGGGTGTCATTCCTATCCCAGACGATATGAGCTTCGAAGATGCCGCTTCTATGCCACTGATCTTCCTGACGGCTTACTATGCCCTAGTTACCGTCGGTAGACTGCAGCCAGGCGAGACGGTCTTGATCCATGCTGCTGCTGGTGGTGTCGGACAAGCCGCAATTGCCGTCGCCCAGCACATCGGAGCTGAAATCTACGCTACAGTTGGCTCCCCAGAGAAAAGACAGCTCCTCATCGACCAGTATGGTATTCCAGATGACAACATCTTCAGCAGTCGTGATACGAGCTTTGCAAAAGGAGTTATGAGAGCGACAAATGGATCGGGTGTTGGTCAGTACAGTCATTATGATATTTGCTGGGGAAAAAATCGACACTAACAGGAATTGACGAATAGATGTCGTGCTGAATTCTTTAGCCGGCGAGGCACTTCGCCTCTCCTGGAACTGTCTTGCCAAGTTCGGGCGTTTCTTGGAAATTGGTAGGTGATGGTTCGTCCTACAACGCCAGAGTGGGTTCTGACTGTAACACAGGAAAAGCGGATCTCTTTGCAAACACAGGGCTAGACATGTTGCCTTTCCTCGAGGTGAGATCTCCTTTATATCCACGGATTCAGACCCTTCCGCTCACACTTCGACAGAACAAGAGCTACTGTGGTGTGAACCTGATCGACTTCGAGAACAATCCAACACCTCGTGCCGTCGCGCTCTTCCAGAGTGTCGCAGAGCTGATCAAGGATCGTGTCATCAAGCCGGTGAAGCCGGTTCAAGTCTTTTCATTCTCGTAATACCCCCCTTCTCACAAGTGGTATTCGTATCTTTGAAAGATAGCTAATTCTTCATGTGCAGTGAAATTGAAAAAGCCTTCCGTTACATGCAAACCGGCAAACATATGGGCAAAATCGTGGTGCGTGTCGATGAAAATGACCTCGTCCCTGCCATCCCGCTCGTACCAGAAGCACGGATCACCCCTGAAGCCACATATATCCTCGCCGGCGGTCTCGGCGGTATCTGCCGGGAGATCAGTCGCTGGTTAGCGGAGAAGGGTGCGAAGCATCTCGTTTTTCTTTCCAGGTCTGCAGCGACGGGTGACGCAAATATTGCATTTATGAAGAATCTTCGTGAGACGTATGGAGTGAACGCGATTGCGTTTGATTGCGATGTAGCAGATCGGGCTTCCCTGGAGCGTGCTCTTGACGGGTGTAAGGAGCAAGGTCTCCCACCAGTGCGTGGTTGTGTGACAGGAGCAATGGTGCTCAGGGTAAGTGTTCTTGCTTTGCTTTTTACGGTATCCTTTCTCAAATATTGACTCGAATGCACGCAGGATACCCTATTTGACGGCATGACCATCGACCACCTCCGCACGACCGTTGGACCCAAAGTACACGGAACGTGGAATTTGCACGACATGCTTCCCAAGGACCTGGATTTCTTCGTCATGCTAAGTTCATTGGCTGGTGTTATGGGTTCGTACACTCTTCCTTCCCCGGCCGTCCCACTAAAACAATACTCTAATCATTGGTATAGGTCATCGCGGTCAAGGCAACTACGGCGCGGGTAATATTTTCCAAGACTACTTCGCCAGTTTCCGGCGCAGCCAGGGCTTGCGTGCGATGACGATCGATATTGGGTACCTCCTCAGTGTTGGGTTTGTCGCGGAACATGACGAATACGTGGATCATGTCAAGAGTATGGGTCTGAAAGTAATGCAAAACAGCGACCTCCATGCCCTCATGTCCATCGCCATGGAGGACACCCCTGCGCATCCCGCACAAGTGATGTGCGGACTTCCAACGAACGAGTATTCTGAGGCATGGTACTGGATCCAAGACGGGAAATTTGCCTCGCTACTGAATACTGCCCAGGGCGGCAATACCGCAATGGGTTCCTCGATCTCGTTGGGCGTAGAACTCGCCCGTATGACAGATATGACAGCCGCCGTGGATCTTATTCATAAGAGTTTGGTGGAGAAGCTGGCGAAGCTTATGATGGTACCGATGGTGGACAGTAAGTTTGCTCTGTTTGATGTTGCTTGTGACTCCATTATGTTCATGACTAATGAGGTGACTTATTTGCATAGTTGACCCCGGAAAACCACTGAGTGCGTACGGTGTTGACAGTCTTGTTGCCGTAGAGGTGAGGAATTGGATCGCCAAGGAGATTCAGGTAGAGTTGAGCGTGTTTGATATTATGGCTCTTGTGCCAATGAGGCAGCTCGCTGCGGATCTAGCGGCGAAGAGCAAGCTGCTATCACGGGAGGGGATCATGTAGTTATTGAGCGTCAGGCTTCATAGGCCACGATGGTGCGTGGTACGCTCGCTTCGTTGGAGGTGGTGGGACACAATGGATTACTCACTGGATATTGCCGCCAGCCTTCTTGAATATCCGTGATAATCTCCTACCCACAACTTTATGATTTGATAACTACGGCGAATTCCAGATATACTGTCCTTTTGGATCCGATTATCGCAATAGAAAGCAGCATCCTTAAGCTAGCTAAGGCAATATTGAACTGGCATGCTATTTCGTATTTTCCAAGGGGATCGAAATCTTTCTGTAAGTCTACCAACTAGATAGATATAAATTTCTATCTACCACGTTTAAGGTGATATTCGGGGATTTCTTGGTACACCTTCCTTGTTGTGGAGATTCATAATGGGGTCTCTCTGTGTGAGACCCTATCTCAGGATCTCGGTCTCTATGTGGATTCGGGAAATAAACGGAGAAAGCAGTAGCATAGATTTATGCTGAACTAATCGCTAGAGTCTACGACTCTAGCTCCTAGCTATACTTATACTACTTATAGAGTTATATAGCGGGTTAAGCGAGATAATATGATAAGATATATCGTATTTGTCACGGATAACCTTCCTAACAATATAGGAACATAATGTCAGGTGACCTATAGGGATCTATCCCGCCTATCCTTATCTTAGGAATTGTCTGTGAAGCTACCTCGAGTTATCCTCGGAGTATCTCTAAGTCGAGGGCGAATCGCCCTTAGGTTAGAGATCTTACTCCGACCTATCCTCTAGTGTTATAAATAGCCTAGGGCCCCTAGGTCCAAGGATAGTTTTAATAAGATTAGTCTTATATATTACGAGCTAAGTCTTGATAAAAATAAGAGTGTATTTAACGAGAATTCTAAATATAGAAAAGGAAGAGAAAGAGAGTGTTGAAACTTGTGTTGTGATATGAGGCTGGTGCAGATCAGGAACCAAGCCGAACCATCGGAATTAATTCCGAGATATGTATACGAAGAACCAAGTTGATTGGAAATCAACTTGTTCTTCTCGTTGTATATATAGTCTCAAGTTTCCCACCGAATAATAGCTGAATCAATCTTCCTTTTGAATTACAACAACTTGGGATGTCTAATGGTAGGAGATGAATAAAGCATGCAAACAGTCTATTCCAGAGAGGTGTTTAAGTCTGATCTTCCATAGTATGAAAGATCTGCTATATATACGGTCGCACTAGTACTGAACTGGGAGGTGTCAATGTTGACCTAAAGAGATGTGAGGCATCTGAATTGATGCATCAGAATGATGCCTTAAACGCAAGGCATCATACGATGGATCTTGCATCCATCTCAACATATTCATTGGTTGGCCCTCGCAAAGATATATTGTGTGTAAGATATATCGAGAAATATCGCCAATTTCCATAACAGTATACCACTCTCCCTTAGGTTTTTTACCACTACTCGCAGTTCGACGTGAATGACGACGAATCGAAAGGAAAAATAAAAATAAAAGCTTGATTGTTGGTTGGTGGTGAATGAGACAGCAACCAAACGTAGGGATGCACGCCGGCCAAGTCGCGCATTGACCCGACGCTCTGTCTCTAATCAACTCACATTCTACATGCCTCCTCATTCTGGACCATACCATATAACATGCCGATGCTGACATTAAAACCGATCTGTGGGCTCCGTCCAGCCGGAAACACTTCCCCAGGCTCTGCTCTACTGTTACTATTCCTTTCGAGGCCCTCGGCTAGCGCCACGTGACACCCGCCATCGCGAACACGAAAGATTCACAGACCCTGTCGCGCCCAGCCTTGCCGAATTCGGGGACTTATCATAAGCCACAATATCGGCAATAGGGGCCCTAGGTCCCTGAACGGATAACGACTGAGCATGTCGCGTAGGAACGTTAACCTCCTCCCGGTCGGTCATCGAAGAAACGTGTGAAGAACCATCTGAAGCAGCCCTTAATGCGCGAGCGCACCGAGTCTCATATCAAAACGCTCGAGCAGCACCGAGGCCTCACGTCACAAAAGTCCGCGCACTACCACCAGGCTGTTCTCTGGCACAACGAGCAACTCCAGTCAGAGAATAGAGAGCTCCGCCAAGGGTGCGAATATCATACAACTTCCATTTCAGTAAGGACTTCTCGTATTGCGTTTTCTAATCTGAATGTTACACATATCGAATCGATTTCTAGAATAACCAATGAAAGGTAATAGGCCTGTGGTTGAGTGAAACATAGCTTCACAGCACAAAAGCGAGTAGGCCAAGAGGAAAGAGACAATATGCAACTGCAGTGAAGCCTATACCATTGCTTCTCATCTTTGGTAACAGAAAGTGGAAGAACAGTGGAAATCTGGTGCCACTGTACATCTCAAGCACCAGATCAGTCATGGCGAGCATGGTCAAGTGGCCAGCCTTCAGGCGTTAGCTGCCCACAGAACTCAGGGTTATAGACGGTGCTTGTCTTGTCTAGGGGTTTGCCGTGTGTTTTATAGTGGTCATTGAGGTTGTCGCGCCGCGAGAAACTGCGTTGGCACCCAAGGACCCAGCAGACATGAGGTCTCGCTCCTGAATGGCTTGCCAGGTGGCGGTTCAAGGTCTTTTGGCGTTTGAATTGGCGCTTGCATCCCGAAAGCGTGCAATTGAATTGCCGCCCTGGGGTGCTTGCTTGTGAATCTCCGAGACCGAAATCGGAGGGATCTTCCGTGCGGATGGGATTGGGGGATTGTCGGAAGACTTGACAGGCCTCTGCAACCTGCGTATCTTGTCCAATGTGCTGCCCTCCAAGCCGCTCTATCCACGAATCATCGGTATTCTGTGGGGCTGGGAAGGGACCGGTTCCGAATAAATTAGGCACGAGGTCAAAATGGCCAGGGGAAGCCTCCAAGGGTGAGTACGATGGCTCCCAGATAGGCTGGTATCGAAACCAACAGACCACAGGCCGCCATACGGAATGATTCGAACCTGGAATTGAGCAACTCATTTGTTGACAAAGATGACCATGGTCTCTGGTTTGGCTGATGTGCAATGGGTGTGTCGAGCCATGAGAGGTAGAGTCGCCCTTTTCGTGCTGGTGGAACTCCATGCCAAGCTGTTCGATGGGTATGAGATCGGTCAGGTCTTTTTGTTCGCTTCTGTCACCGTAGAAGAGTAGTGTGTCGCTTGGGAACATCATGTCCGTCTTACATGCTTCTGTTTGCGAGGATGTTGTCGTAGCTTGTTGTACTATTTGTGAACTGTCGTCCACACTAAGCATGGATCGGGATTTCTGTGCCGAAAATGAGGCGAAAGTAGGAGGCACTAACCCCACTGTCGAGCGCGATGACTGAGTACGAAAATCGATCAGTCTTTAGAAGGAGTGGCCCATTGAAATAACACGGACGAAACAAAAGGTAGAAAAAGTCAGCAAAACTCGCACAGAAACCTAGAATACCTGAATCATCGCTGCTTGCCCACCCAAGTTACTGAGTTGACCCTCCCTTAACAAATGCTATCGAAAACGAAGTCTTGCCATTTGCTGCGCACGGTTTGATTTCAACGTGATCCTGGACTGTTGAAAAAAATACATGAACGACATATAAAGACGCCTGTTTGTGAGGCGAGATGGTCGTTGAATCAACGCTGACCAGGCACATCCTGTGAGGCTAGTTCAATCCGGGATTTTGCCGCTGACAACTAGGAATCAAGCAGACACGAGTGCTCGGCTTGATACGGAATTCCTAGTCTTTCACCAGTCGCTGACATGGCTGTATCAGTTGTTGCTCACCGGTCGTGGCCAGCCAAATGCTTTCAAATTGAGAAATATAGGGCTTTGAATTTATGTAGTCATTGAAGTTGCGTGACATGATTCAACGCTGCTTGAACAACTTATTTGGCTACTAACATATTTATCAGCATGGGAATAGGGGTGCTCAACGACCGTAAATACCAAATAGCCATCAGAATCAAATAAACGACTGCGTTGAGACCCATACCTCTGTCGTAACACTAACAAGGTGACTACGTGTCTCCAGGTGGACTATAAGAGAGGCTATCATCCTGTGCAGACTAATTTCTTTGAAATCATTTCTTTGCCTATCACGAAATGGATGCTCCAAGGAACGTACTGGACCAAAATAGTGAAGGAGATCATCGGCCGAGTGGACTGCCAATTCAGGTTGATAAAGGCTACCCAAAGGACGCTTCTGATCCCAAGCCACGACAGGTAAGTTAGGTGCATCCCATACAGTATCAGGTCTTTTGGCTGACTACTGGCATTCTCCCTCCCGTAGCTGGAAACCAACCAGAAAGAAACCCTGACGATCGAGCACTTTCAACCCATCTTGGCGACACTAGCAAATCTCGATCGCGACGATCCGAAACTAGCATTTCAAGCGGCTCGGTCCGTGGGGCTCTATCGACGTCTATGTGCATCATGTATGCCTAGGCACCTCAGTGGCGAGGATGTCGACCAGAAGAGTCAATTCTCGAAGGAGGCTAGCAATAACCCGAGCAAAGAGAGGAATGGACCTCAGCTTCCTCATGATGAGCAGCGATTACGACTGCTTTCCTTTGAGCAAGCTTTGGAATCATCGTGGGAACGAATGACTGTCGTGCTCAATGGCTGGAATCAATGCTCGAAAAGTAGTCTGGGCATGTTGGTGGATGCCAAAAGAACCGAGTGAGGGGTTGCCAGTGGGAAGTGTGCCATGTATTCTTTACTGCCATGTAATGAACCAAACAGAGAACAAGTGAAGCCCGCACTCAAACGTAGTGTCAATCCTTTGACGAGGCTTTGTTTTATTTAGAGAATGTCGTACAAAGCACATTGCCATTACCTGACAATTGACGACCTTGCGGACGTTCAGAAAACAATGGAAACACAAGTACAGTCACATGCGTGCGTCACATTCATTTGTAGTTTTCCAGGAGATTATGTACAAAGAACGATGGATCCAGGGATGGCGTCGTGGGTAGTGTCGCTAGCGGGGACAGAGTAGAGTGACCGGAAAACGGTAGAGGTTCTGTGCGCGGCCACAAAGACAATCGGAAGGAAGGACGTATCGCTCCTACAGTGACTAGTGATATGATGTCCAGGATCTGTCGACGCACCCGGCATAGATTCCCCATGGCCGTTTCAACACGGGGCAGGAAGAACAGATGCTCACCCACTGTCTCGCCGGTTAAGTGATCAAATCTTGCAAGCCTCAACTCCACCCAGTAGACCTCTTCAAAAAGAAAGAAAGCTGACATGTAAAGGAAAAGGTCATCAGCTTGAGTGGCGAACGACAGAGGATCTGGACCCGTCCACTTGAAGCCCGACTGGTTATCGTTGTTGGGGTGGAAGAAGCATTCCACCAAGGGGGATCCTTGTCCCTCGTGTGCTACAGACTTTAATCCATTCGGAAAGTCTAGCGCAATATCTTCGTGATCTGCGCAAAGACAAGGAGGCGGCGCCGGTATACAAGAGGATTCTCGCCATATTGCGTGAAGGTCCAGATCGAAGTCGATATCTAGTCTGTTGTGAGCACAGGCATGCGGTGGAGTAAAGTTATGCGAATCACCTTGACCAGGTTTGTCTATCTGCTTCGGAAGTTTCCCGGTATAGTAGTTGTGGTGGAAGTGGCAGCAGCGTTTGAACTGGCAGTGACGGGTTGCTGGAGGTTTAATATAATGGCGGCGGCCAATCATTCTTTCCAATGTGGCAGACAGAGGACCAATAAATCAAACGGCTAATTTACTAAGTCTTCGTGAAGCGTTGATCTTTCACCAGGATAAACGAAATGTCACCGTCGGCCGTATGGCCGCTTCACCGGGTATCCATAAACGCTGAGATATCCTCGGTGAGATGTACCCGTCTACCATCCCACAACACCGGCATTTATATGCACTCGAGGGAGAGATCTCTTTCATCTAACAGCCATCTCTTCACTCTTGAAGCTGTCGACACAGCGACGTGGTGTTGTACCGTAGAACTGGCCCTAGCTACATTGGAAGGAGACCAGCCGGGATGAAGGGTATCTACTCAGGCTACTTAGTTTCGTTCGTTTGTTACCTGAAAGAATCAGAATTGATTTCCAATCTTGCGCAAAGTTATGGTTGCTGAGGCTTAGCTTCAGATAGGGGGCAAGTAGGTGCTGGAAATCCGAGTGGGCGCCCGTCAAACGACAGCTGGCCACGGAAATCTGGATCGTAGTCGGGGCTCGTCTCGTCGAGGGTGGCAACATAACGGTTGCGACCACCCGGTCTCGCATGTGTCTTTGTACAATGGACTTGGAGGTTGTCGCGGCGTGAAAAGGCACGGTGGCATCCAGTCACCCAGCAGACATAGGGCTTTTCCTTCGAGTGACTCCTCGTATGGCGCTCGAGGTGGTCTTGACGCTTGAAGCCCATTCTGCAGCCAATGATGTTGCACTTGAATTTTCGCTTATGCATATCAAATTCCTGGTCCTTAACTTCCGGCTTATGATCAGGCTGCTTGTCATGAACATGACAGTCAGGCAGTGAAAGATCGTTTATGCACGCGCTCTTGTCATGTACTATCTGGGAGTGCCCTGGTGGTTGATCAAGAAACCAAGGGGAGATACCGGTATCAGCGGGGACAGGACGGACTTCAGCAGTCTCGCCAAGATTTGCCGTAAAGCTCAAGGGCTCAGGAGTAGTTGTAAAAGTATTTGGAAAAACCAGTGCAGGGTCGATATTCTGCATTGTCGAGAAATCAGCACCCGGCAGCCGTTCAGCTACATTGGACATTGGGATCGAGTCAATCCGTCGCAACTGACAAAGCCTCAATGGTGGCGGGCAAAATATGGAGGTCGATTCAAGGGAGTGGTCTGCTTCCCGAGGAAGATAGAGGCTGGGAATGCCATGGTCCCTGAGCAAGATTGGCGTATGATGATGAGAAACCGGGGAACAGTAGTAGACCTGGATGACTCCATGCTCTGCCCGATTGCCAGGTTGCAGCGAAGCAGCGTCAGTGCGGTTAGCCTTCCAGATGCTGTCATCGAGGTAGGGCCAGGTTGGCAGGACCTGTGAGTCCAGATAATGGAAAGGATTGGTCGCTAGGGTCGGCGGCTTGACGGTTGAGAATATTCTATCACCATGCTGAACATGTAGCTCAGGAAAAGGCTGAGCCGGCAACAACGGGGGAAGAGGTTTTCTATGTTTCCGAGACATATTACCGGCTGCGATTGGTTATGGTCGATGTATTTTCAAGGAGCTTGTAGAGAACCGGCGCTGCGTAGAAATTTATTGAGAACGACAGAATCTCCTAGGCTCAATTTGAACTGAAAGTAGACCATAATTAACCATGGACTACTAAATAAAGCCAATTGCGCATGTGTACTTTGGCATTGGCCATGATCTTCGCATGATCAAGATGCAAGTAAGTAAGACGCAGAAAGCTGCGTCAATACAGACTACCTTTATAACAGGAATATCCTGTATAGCTAGGGAAATACAATGGATGTACTAGGCGATTGGCGCAACGGAATCAAAAAGGGGAACTACCCAAAATGATGAGATCAAAAGAGTGTTGATTCCTGTCTCCTATCTACTGGGATCGAGGGGGTTAAAATAGCCTCGAGAATACCTGGTATCGAATCCTCTAGAATCCCAGAGGTACCGTTTGGGTCAATACGATGCTGATCACCATTTTCCTGACATAATATATCCATAGAGGGGTTAAACTTAAAGTTATCCAATACTTTCAAATAGACTAAAAGTCTTCATAGACTATACCCAATGGATGTATGACTACAGCATGATCTTCGTATCTCGCACTCGATCAAAAGCGGTATACCACGATTCCTTAGTGGTGAATACTTCTTCAAACCCGATAGACCTCGCTCTACCAAGATCGAAAGGGCGATCGAAATCCATCAGGCGTAGACTGACCATCCGCGACCCAGTGTTGTGCATACTCTTGTAGATGATATCCTCACGAAGGCCCCTCTGACGACAAAGAGCCTGGAGCTCGTCCCGGTGTTGATCAATATACTTCGTGGGGTGTAGGCTTGCATCATCTGGCCCCACGCCCTCCAACCCAAAGTATGCTGCCAAAATTGGCCAGCGCTCAGACCATGAGACAGGGGTTGCACTGTCAGCGATGTTGAAAGCACGTGCATGGACCTTTTCGCGAGACTGCAAGGAAGAAAATATGCAGAATCGGGCAATGATATCTTGGTTAGAATCTGTGGACAAAAGGCGCCATGTAGTGTCGTTTCCAGGGAATGCAACACGAGCCCCTGCTCCTTCAAGAGCTCGGTAGAGTCCAAGGTAAATACCCATTGTCTGAGCCATGCAGTTAGCATTACCAAAAGGAGCGACCCCGACCTAACACAGTTAGACATTTTCTTAGATCAGTAGGGTTGTGACACAACATACAATAACGTCTGGGCGGACTTCACACCATGACCAAGGTTTACCAGCAGATAGCTCGTGAAGAAGGTCTACCTCATGATAGTAGAAAAGGTCTTTGGCATACTCTGCTGGGACGCGTGGGAGATCTTCTTTCAGTGGCACCTGTCCTCGGAAAGGGAACTTATCGAGGAGGTAGACACCATATGCCTAATAAGACAAGAGGGAAGGGTCAGTTTCAAGGATGTTTTTTTTACAGATTGAATATATGTTCTGCTTCACCTTTGTTCCTGTGATCAAGACCACGAAAGCTAATCTGGAGGAGAGGGTCTCTAGCGATTGAACCGCAGCACGCAGCATCTCCTTGTTAAGACGACATTCCTCGGCGGCATGATCACTGGCTCGATACGCTATCAACCAAAAATGAGCATGCGCCGTAAAGATCAGGAAGAGTGGGTACAATCTTTCGGTTCATTACCAGCATAATATACGTGACTTATTGTCTCCACTGAAAGAACTTTTTGTGAAAGGGTCTTTTGCAAAGTAGTGTCATCGCCGCCCAGGAGATCGATCCCAGAGACGATCTGCAGACGATCATCGCGTGGCCATTTAGCCTCTTCAGAAGTAAAAAGCCGATTAGCAACGGCCGTGATCTTCGAAAATGTGTTGGGCGAGGGATATCCCGAGAGCAGTTGATTCACTAAAGCCCAGCCATTGATCCCAGAGCAGCCAAAAACCACAGCATGATTCCCTGCCTGATCTTGGAACTTCTCGGTCATTGTTAAGTAGGGTTCACCAGCTTGCAGGAATAAAATTGCAAGGAATAGAATAACCTATAAAGAAGAAAAGGGGTACAATGAGTGCCAATAAGAGATAGGGGGATTTTCCGATATTTTCCGATAGTACGCGGAATTGTACAGTAACGCAGCAAAAGTTTTTGTCGATTCCAAGAGATACGGTACGCGCTAGTTCTACAACAGACCATTGGTCGGCCTTGATATCATAGAATGAGTGTAAATTCTAGGACAAGCTGATGCTGCGCTATTTAACCAATGCTCATGAAGCGGTGAATGGCTTGGCGAAGTAGCCATTTATACTGTAGCAAATGAGTAAGCAAAAATGGGTGCTGCTAAAACTCGAGTAAGCTAGTACTGTAAGGACCGCTTTTCTTGACACACCCCCTCAGCAGCCATTCTGCTTCTCTTTCATGCCACTTTGTCCTCCACCAAGTGCTTAATGTCGACCAATCCTAGTGTCTGAATGAATTGCGCATGGGACTGTGATGGAAGCAGCTTAGTGAGTCCATCGGCGGCCATTTCGGCTGTGGGAACCCATTTGATTGAGATAGTGCCGGCTTCAACTTCTTGACGAAGCCAGTTATTGTGGATATCGACGTGGCGAAGCTTGGTGCGAAGCTGAGGTTGCTCCTTAGTGAGAAGATCGACGGTTTGCTGATTGTCGCAGTGGATGTCTAGTCCTGATTGATAGTCGAGATTGACTGCGTGAAGTAGCCTTTTCCACCACATAGCTGACTTGCCAGCCTCAGATATAGCTAGCAGCTCGGCTTCAGTTGTCGACGTTGTGACGGTTCGTTGCTTGCTGGCTTTCCAGTCGACTGCTGCTCCAAACAGCTTACAGAGGAAGCCTTCTGAGCTTTTCCGATCAACGTGATCTCCGAATGATGCATCGCTAAAGAAGTGGAGTGCAGACTCCGTGAGAGTTGGATGATACTCGAGAGCAAGGAACCTTGTTTGGTAGAGATACTGGATAAGGCGGTTTGCTGCTTCTCGGTGTTCGGGTCCGGGGTTCGTGAGGAACTCGGCCAAGTGATTTGCTGCTTTGGCAGCATCTGGACGTGTGATGACTGTTGGATAGATGACTGATCCTACCTTCTGCTGGTATTCGTGAATCTGCTCCTTAGTTGCTTGTCCCGTATACCGAGTCATGCGATTGACTGGTAGAGGTGTTGTAACCTTTCGTCCGTTGGTAAGACCATACTTGGCGGCCATTGATGCGATATAGGAATCCTGGCAAAGCCATAGCTTATGCTGCTTAGTATCCCGGAGGATGCGAATGCCGAGAAACCAGCTTGCTTCTCCTATGTCCCGAAGTTCCCAGTGCTCTTTAAGCTGTTGGCGCAGCGTTAAAGCTTCCTGGTATCTCGCTCGGTGGTAGACGATAATTATATCGTCCACATAAAAGAACACAATGACTCCATTTCTCGTGAATAGGCATATATCCTCTGGTACGTGCTGAAATCCAAGCTTTCTAAGAACGCGTGTGGCTTCTTGCTGCCATAGTTTCGGAGACTTGCGTAAGCCATAAAGTGCTTTAAGGAGCTTCCAGACGCTTGTTGAATCGTGGAAACCTTCAGGCATATACGTATACACCTCTTCGTCGAGATCACTATTGAGAAATGCGTTAACAGCGTCGAGTTGGAAGGTTCCTAGGTCAAATGCAGCAACGAGTGCGAATATTGCACGGGCTGTACGGGCAGCAAGCGTGGCGGCTCGCTTGTCGTCTGAGCTAATGGTTTGTAGGTCGCCTCGAACACAGATTCGTGCTTTAAGCTTGGTGAGGAAACCATTGCTGTCATACTTATAGTTGAAAACCCACTTGAGTGGTAGGACCTGAATGCTGCGGTCCTGAGGGCGTGGTTCAACTTTGAATGTTTGACGGAGCTTGATAGATTCCACTTCGAGGCCTGCTGCGGCCATGAAACCGTCCCGAAACGGATGATTAATCATTTCCTTCCAGCTTTGGGGTTCAGGAGTAAGATCATCGCGATGGTAGCGAGGTTCTGGGCGAGTGGATGAGAGCGCGGAAGCAAATGCAGCTAGTACGCCTTCATGGTCATCTTGGTCATCGTACGTGAAGTAACTCGCAAGGTATGGGTCCTTTCTCACTGTCCTTCTTCGAGTGCCTTGGATAACGTTGTCTGTAGAGACGTCTCCGTTAATATCTCGAATGGCTTGGTGACCTTGTGAAGCTGTGGGGAAGCTTCCCGGAACTTGCTGATCTGGAGAGGAGGCCGGTGCTGGACTTGACGGAGTGTAGACAATTGGTCGTACTGGAACTACGTCCACTTGCTTGAATGCTGTTCGTTCTGGTGCTTGCGGATAAGCTGGACGAAGCGCTTGATCCGGTGTAACAGGCTCATATGGAATGGCCGTGAGTGGTGCCGGTAATGGCGAGTTTGGTACGCTGGTCGGCAGCGGCACCTCGCTTGGTATCGGACTTGGCGGAAGACTCGCTGGCAGCGGAGTCATTCGTGGAGTGAGTGACGGGGTCACTTGTTGCCATTGTGGCGAAGTGGATTGTTGAAGTTTTGACACTTGTTGTGATGCTTCGGCTTGTTCAATTGGCATTTGTTGAGATCGGGTCTCAATTGCTTCTTGCGGATCTTGTGGCTCATTTTGTATGATTGGTGATGTAGCAAGTCGGCGTAGGGCCTGCTCAAGCTCTGCTTCAAGCTCTTCCTGATCGAAAACCTCTGTGTAGGGTATCTGGCTGATGATTGGAGCTTCTTTCGGCTGGTGTGAATAGTTCATATTCTCATCGAACACTGCGTCTCGGACGTACTTGCTGGTATTAGACCTAGGAAACCAGATTTTCCAGATGTTGCCTGTTTTATATCCGACCAAGTAGCCAATTTCAGCTCGGCGATGCATTTTATCGGATTGAGGGATCCCCTGAATTCTGACGTAGGTGCGACAACCGTATACTCGAAGATTTGATAGGTTGATCGGAACCCATGTGCTAGTTCCTTGCTGGTGAAACTCCTGTTGTGGGATGATCCAGCGGCCATCATTGAGCTTGGTGGGCGATCTGTTTAGTATATAGATAGCTGCTTGCGCTGCTTCCGGCCAGAGATTCTTAGGGAGCTTAGAGTCTTCGAGAAGTGATCTCATCCTTGCTATTATCACCCCCCCAGATCGCTCGGCAAACGAATTCATTTCAGGAGTGCCGGGGATGCTGTGTTGGATGACGATACCGCAGTGAGTGAGGAAATCCTCGACAGCTCTGCCTGCTGATCTCTCATTATCATAATGAAAGGCACGGATCGGCAAGTTGAACCAAGTCTTCATTTGTGACACGAAGCTAGTGACTGCTTCCTGACAGCCGTTCTTTTGTGGGTGCGTTGCAGCCCAATGGTAGCGGATGCCATCAATATAGAAATGAGTTATCCACCTGTCGCCGTTATAGGCTTCTTGGATCGGAATTAGATCGAAGTGAATTCGACCAAGCGGTCCGAATGTGGCTCCTTGAGCTCTTCGAGACACTTGGCGATGCGCTTTTGTCAACTGACACACTTCGCAGTGCTCAGGATTGTCTTGTTGTGCTTGACCAGTAGGTTTTGTGACTTCGATGCCATCTACCATATCGGCAAGCTTCTCGATACGTTGATCATGCATATGACCAAGTCGGCGATGCCATGTTTCAGCGGTTGCTTTTGAGACAAGCGGTACGGTAGAACGCTTAGTGGTTGAAGCAAATGCAGTTGTTGCGAATGAGGCAGGAAACAGTATGTCTACCTCTGAGAGTGCGAAGAGGTTACCAATTTCCTCTATCTTTGCAATACACTTGCCGGACTGCTTGCTAACGATCGTTAAGTTGTCAAAGTCCGCTATAAAACCTCGCTTCTTGATGATTCCAAGTGAGATCAGGTTTGTGTGAAATCCTGGTGAGTACTCGACGTCGTCAAGCGTAATTGTCACTGGCTTCCCTGTGGTAGGACTAAGTGCCTTGATGCTGACTTTTCCACTTCCTTGAAGGGTGCAGTAGGTGTCTCCGACCTTGATAGTGCCGTTTGATTCCTTAAAATCAGTGAATAGGCTTCGTTTGTTTGAGATATGCCTTGTAGAAGCCGTATCAATTAGCCATCTGTCTTTGATTGATGCTTGCTGTGTGGTAGGGAATGCTGTTATCGGCTTATCATCCCATGTTAGGAAGCTAAAGGGAGATTCGTCCTCTCGAAATTCAGCGAAGTGCGCTTGTGTATCGCTTGCGGTGCTTTCAGCTAGCTTGGCAGTGAGGTCTTTGACTTTTCTTTGAGCTGCTGAAGATAACTTTTCCGTGTTTTGGCTGATCTTCTTCTTGATGCTAGGATCAGGCTTCCATCCTGATGGTCGGACAGCTTTGACGAGATATGGGCAAGCTTGGTAGAGATGCTTATCCTCGCAGACGCAAGTAGGATTGCTAGGCAGTTTCTTTCGGTCATTTCCGCTACCAGCTTTGCGCTGAGGTTGCGGCTTTCCGGCTTCTTCCTGGCCATTTAGCGTAGCGAATGAAGCGTGAGTTGCCTTGAGACCCTTTTTCGGCCGAAAAACGGTCCTCTCCGTTCGGAACGCATTTAGCATGCTCGTGAAGCTTACGTTGCCTTCCTCCCTGAAAGTCTTCTGATACCAAGTGTAGGAGAACTGAGGATCCACTTGCTTGATAGCAGTAAGGAAGTCGTAGATAGCATCATCAGCATCCTTCGTGAATGAGACCTCTGCAGCCTTGCATTCCTGGTATAGGTTTTCCCATCTCATGATCATTGCGTCAAGTCCAGAGTCTTTGACTGGTGTTGAAGCTAGAGCATTCCACTGGGTGCGTAGCTCTTGCTTCCTTTCTCTTTCAGCAAGTGAGAAACGGTCTCGAAGTGCGATAAGGAGGGTATGTACGTCGAATACGTCAACGGTAAGTTGCTGGAGCTCTGGCGCAAGTGAGTTTCGAATTCGCTCGGTGACTCGGTCTATGGCTCGCTTGATAGTGTTGTACTCGGCTAGGTCGGTAT